CGTTCTCTGTGACTCGGACCTTGGGCAAGGCAGGAACTCTTGGAGCAACCTGCCGCCTGGAAGACGATGGCTGGAGATTCAATCCACGAGATTTTCAAAGTCGAGTAAGCAACAAACCATACCCTCTGGTAAACATACAAATAGCTATTAAAAATGGTCATTTATAGTTGATTTACCCATTAAAAATGGTGATTTTCAATAGCTATGTTAAATTACCATGGCTTTGACAGCACTGTTTCTGGAAGGTTGTGAGTTGTGACAGGTTCTGATGTCGCTAATTTTTTCATCGTCCTGGATTTTCTTGACGATATTGCATCCAAACCCTTTCCAGTCTTAGCACTTGCAACAAAAAATGAGGTCACACTGGATCAAAGAGAAGTCTCAGTGGTCATTACAAATCGACTACCTTGTGATTTCCATGAGAAATTGAGGTTGGTGAGTTTTTTCCATGATTGGATTGCTGAAATGCCATGACCCAAAACAGAACAGCAGTGATGACGGATGAGGGTCCCGGTACCTCGTGTACCACTGCTGATCTGAGCAGCTGCCCTGACAGGGTTGAGAAACCTTCCATTGAATGCAGACCTGTCTGGGTGTGTCTGAAAATGACCATTATATGCAAAAATGATGATGATGATGATGATGATGGACGATCAACTGGTGAAGTCGGCTTGTCCAAGTTTCAGACCAACCCCCGTGATGTTCACGGATCCGAAATCTTTGGAAATGGTGTAAACGTGCAATGAAAATTGCTGCTTGGTGGTTTCAACCCTACCCCTCTGAAAAATGATGGAGTGAAAGTCAGTTGGGATGATGACATTCCCAATATATGGAAAGTCATTAAATTATATAAAATTCATGTTCCAAACCACCAACCAGATTGGATCATAAATTGGATTCTGATCGTTGTTCCTTGGACATCTAGCCGAATCTAGCTGCTGGACTCATCCGTGAATTCCTATGTCAAGCTGTCCAGCCTCTAGTTGTCGCCACGGTAGCGGAGGAGCAGTGGCAGACATGACCTGCCATGGTGTGCGGGTCATCCATACCCGCTTCTAGGAACTTCCCCTGATGCTGATTTTGGGGAGTTATATATTGGGGATAATCATAATCCACTAAATAATGTTAGGGAGTTCTACAATTCGATTCTCATCATCCACCAGGGGAATCCCTATTCACCAACCCTTTTTGAAAATGTTTTGGAATGACAGATGCTTCTGAACACTGCGAAAATTTCCCTGCAGTGTTACGTCAAAAAATCCGATCTTCCTCAAGTCGTTGCAGTGAGTTTTCCATGGCGTTTTCGGAGCCCGGGGCCCAGGTTTTAACTCGTGTCCTTATGGTCCAACTCCAGCAGCTCGGAATCATCACTATCATCCTGTCGGCGTTTTATAGGTGATGGCAGGCCAGGAAAAAGCTTAAGTAAGGTATGCAAATGATTGGAAAATCAGCCCCCCATGTTCAAGAATTTCAAAGAATCTATGAATATCTATGAATATCTATGAATGATTTTGTAAGATGCAAAGAAAATGAAACTGATTAAGTCTTGCACTGGATACTTGGAATCTGCAGAGATTCTATACGTTTGCATCATTTTGCATACATGTTGCCACAACAACTTGGTGATGAAATCATGACAAACTGTGAGAGGAAGGTCAGTTGGGGTCCCCATAGCAAAGTAGTGAGACTACGGCTGATAACCCGTATTTACCCAGGTCAGCCCACAATGGGGTCAAACTACACTACAACACAACCGTTAAGCGGTCAGCACTGTTTTGAACCAACTCTGCATAGGTAATTGTAACCCACCAGTCACCAAGTGTAACCGCACCTCCAAGCTCTGCAGCGCCTGAAAAAAGGGGAGCCGTTTTTCACCCAATGGACCTTGGACCTGGTGGTAACAAAACAAGCTTGGGAGCAAGCCCAGTTTGGAGTGATACTTAAATTAAGCAACCTATCAATAATGTCCTTTTGGTAAAAATAGGTTTGGGCCGGGAGCTGGTTAATCCCATCTATCATCATAGAAACCTGTTGTTAAAGGGGTTTCTACAAACCCCTCTACTAATCAACCAACCAATGGGAATTTGGGACATCTATGCAACCGTTCTGGCAACCTTAGAAATGGTTTTGTCCAAGATTTTGGGGCACCCCTGCTGCCCTGCTTCCATTGGTTCCTCGTTTTGCCCCTCCTTGACATCGCCTGCCCTAGAGCCATGGCCAACCCCCCCTTTCCGCGTTTGCGGGGAAGGTGGTTGGCCGGTTGGCTTATCGCCAAGTCTTTCGAGTGCAGGCAGTGCCAAAGACCTACTGCACTACTGCACTACTGCACCTACTGTTGGTTTTCCCAAACATGTGGAAAACCTGATGGAACCCACGAAGCCGAATGCACGAAAAACGAGTTGCGACTCACAACTACATCATACACTCTCGTCAAAATAGTGTTTTCTAGGCTTCCCACTCTTGTTGGGCACCTTTGTGAGGAGACAATATTGTTTAAGACACTTCATGTGAGACAGCTTAGCTAAAGCACCTTGGTTGTTATAGATATGTTTGTCAGATGCTGTTTTGAATACACTCTGTGCCGAGGGGGCTTGAAAAACTTGAAAGCACATGACAATCTGCACATATGTATGTATATTCTATAATTATATATATATGTATGTATGTATGTATGTATGTAGGTAGGTAGGTATGTATGTATGTATGTATTTATATATATATATATATAAATATTATATGTATGTATTAAATCTATATATACTGTATATTATATATATATATATTGCTATGCCCCTGTAATGCTTATAACTAAACTTTAAAACGTGGCAAACCTGCAGGCCAAAGGGGGCGGCAACGCCTGCGGCAGAAATTTAGAAATTGCGGGTCAAAATAGCGGGCCACCCTCCAGCCACTTTTCCCCGAACTAACTCTTGCAGCTCTCCCAGGCCCATCCCCAACTGTTTCCACCCAGGTTCTCCCAGGAAATCCCGGAAACCCCACAAAAGCGCAGAAAATAACATTCAGGTTCTCCCAGGAAATCCCGGAAACCCACAAAAACGCAGAAAATAACACCCAGGTTCTCCCAGGAAATCCCGGAAACCCACAAAAACGCAGGAAATAACACCCAGGTTCTCCCAGGAAATCCCGGAAACCCACAAAAACGCAGAAAATAACACCCAGGTTCTCCCAGGAAATCCCGGAAACTTACAAAATCGCAGGAAATCACTAATTTCCTGGGAGAACCTGGAAAAACCTGGAAGAACCTAAAAGAACCTGGGAGAACCTGCAAGTTGGGATTGACCTGGGCAGACTTAGGCGGACCTGGGCCGACCTGGACAGGGGTGCTGCCGTTTCGGCTTGTGAAATGTTGCGTGGCAGGTGCGATATTTGGATATACGTCTTTTCAAGTGGCCATGTGTCGACAGGCATGGCGTGTCATTTGGCATGGCAGGCGGTTTTGCATACGTCTCAAAGGGGTGCGGCAAAATATATTAATATTCACCAATTGGGCAAAAGAATCATATATATATATATTGATGATAAACCCCTGTAATGCATATAATATAAATCAGGATTCTGGGGCCTGGGTTTTAATTTTGGAGGGTTTCTGGGTGTTAAAACTGGCTTTTGAATGGTGCAGGATACATATCAAAACGGTGTTGGCTCAGCACTATTCGTTAGTGGTGTTTTATCCAATTCTGCTCTGGTTTACATATGCGTGGTTTATTCAGGCTAAAATATTGCATCAAATGACACGGTCGCGATGACCGCCCCACAATTTGCAATGTCACTGACGCAGCAATGCTAAACCCCAGCCATCTCCAACCTCAAAACACCAAATCATCTCAGACAGACCTGGCCACAAGTATTGTGATTATTGTGCCTGCCACGCAAAACAAACTTATAGCCACACGAAGCCCACCCCGAACGACACTGTGTGTGGACTACCCGTCGCGTTTCACACGCCTTTCCTCAAACAGACACTTCTCTGAAACACAGAAACATACGAAAATCTACAGGATAATTGTGTCAATTTCATCTTGGAACAAAATGTGCGATAAGAAAACGCTACTAGCACATGCAACAACAGTGACTGGCGACTGGGCAAATGTTCCAATGAGAAAAGCGCAAGACAGAAACGCAAATGTATCTGTCGGAAGTATTGCGCCTGCCACGTAGAGTTACATCCACACGTTTTGCTGCGTTTGCCACGCGATTCCTTTCCCAAGTACTCCGCCTGCCACAAAAAACTGAACCTTCCTTGTGAAAAAGTATTGCACCTGCCACACCAAGCAGCTTTTGACATTTTTTTGTCACGTCAACGTCTCTAGTAACTACAACGTCTGCCACACGAAATGACATTTCGCGAGTAAAACCATCCAAAAGTGACAGCTTGAGACTTTCCATGACTTTCCCATAGGCAGCCATAGGGTCCTCATCGCGAACCGTGGGGAACGGTCGCGAAGGGTTACAAACGGTTGTGAACGGTCATAAGCAACTTCAAGCCAACAAGGGTCCGGGTCCTACCCCAGACCCCAAAAGATAATTAATCGAGAACCCTTGGCTACGCATTCCTGAGGAAAAAAATCTTGGAGTCGTCAAAAGTTACAACATGTTACAACTGCCACTGAACTCACAGTATCTTGGAATTTCTCAGATACTTCATGATACTTCGGTACAACATTCGGTTCTCAGGCTGAGTACTGAAAGGATCTGAAAGCGAAGCGTACTGTCCAAGTGCTGAGATTCCCTGGGCGCTGCCCTCACTCGGCTAACGACATTGTTTTTGAAAAACGTCACCGCTGGCCGCTTCAAGCGGAGGTCACGTTTTGGTGGACCATTCTGGGACCATTCTGGAAGAGACACATGGTCAAATGGGATTTTCCATTGGGGAACTGGAAGTTCCATGAGGCAGAGGGCACCACATCATAGATCAGAAATTAGTGACATTAGATGTGGAAAGATGTGGAAAGATGTGGAAAGATGTGGAAAGGACTTTCCACCAACAAAGCATCTAACAAACCTGGCGTAAATCTTTCCAACGGTCTCCATAAACCTGGCCCATTTTGACCTGGCTGCCATCCATAAACCAAAAAACCAACTCACCCCGACGGGTTCGCGTTTCGTCGCGTCCGTCGTCAATCATTGGCCTGCGACACAGCACGTGGGTGGCGCAAAGGTGAGAAAAGGAACCGGATTTGTTGTTTGGCTAAAACAGCTACGATTGTTTAAACACCTAGAAGTGTGATGTTCCTCTGTTCCAGAATGTTCGTTGGTCACAATAATCACAATTTACGAGCAGCCTTTGTTTTTTCACGTCTGATCGCCCTGTCTTTGTCGTAGGAGGGAAAGAACTAGGGCGAAACTGAAAGACAGATACAGGCCGTGAGTTATGGCACGTCTTTCGTCCAATGACACTAAGTAATAGTTACACAATTACATGAAGCGGCTGGATGTAGAAGGCCAGAAACGTAAAATTACTTTACTTCGTGTGATCCCCACCATGACATTTATACATTTTCTTATTGGCAAATCTTCTGGCATTCTATCTGACATATCTTCTGGCATTCTATCTGGCATATCTTCTGGCATTCTATCTGGCATATCTTCTGGCATTCTATCTGACATATCTTCTGGCATTCTATCTGGCATATCTTCTGGGATATACTCTGACATATCTTCTGGCATTCTATCTGGCATTCTATCTGGCATATCTTCTGGCATATCTTCTGGCATTCTATCTGGCATATCTTCTGGCATATGTTCTGGCATATCTTCTGGCATATCTTCTGGCACTCTATCTGGCACTCTATCTGGCATATCTTCTGGCATATCTTCTGGCATTCTATCTGACATATCTTCTGGCATATGTTCTGGCATATCTTCTGGCATATGTTCTGGCATTCTATCTGGCATTCTATCTGGCATATCTTCTGGCATATTATCTGGCAAATCTTCTGGGATTCTATCTGGCATATCTTGTGGCATTCTATCTGACATTTTATCTGGCATTCTATCTGGCATATCTTCTGGCATATCTTCTGGCAAATCTTCTGGCATTCTATCTGGCATATCTTCTGGCATTCTGTCTGGCATATCTCATGGCATTTTATCTGGCATATCTTCTGGCATTCTATCTGGCATATCTTCTGGCATTCTATCTGGCTGTTGAGGTCCAGCGGTGCACACTGAGCTGGGCAGGTCCCCGGTTGAGGTCCAGTGGTGCACACTGAGCTGGGAAGGTCCCCGGTTGAGGTCCAGCGGTGCACACTGAGCTGGGCAGGTCCCAGGTTGAGAGGTCCAGCGGTGCACACTGAGCTGGGCAGCTCGCAGGTTGAGGTCCAGCGGTGCACACTGAGCTGGGCAGCTCGCAGGTTGACGTCCAGCAGTGCGCACTGAGCTGGGAAGTTGGCGAAGAGCTTGGCGACGAGTTGGCAAGGTTGGCAAAGCGGAAGTGGAGGTGGAAGAGGCGGAGGCGAGGAGGAGGGCGAGGAGGACAGCTAGTCGAGGAGGAGGAGGCGGAGGAGGAGGAGGCGGGCATGCGCTCTGATAAAATCTAGCAACCCTCACCTGGCAGGTGGGGAATGATGTATATAATGTCATAGGTTGGTTGTCACTGTCAATTCAGTCATGTCATGTCATTGTCATTGTCAATGCCATTATAAATTATCATTGTCAATGCCTTTGTCATTGTCATTGTCTTTGTCATGTCATACCATGTAGTGTCATCTTCTCTCTTGCCCCTTGTCTCATCGCGAAACAATGTCATCTTACATCTCACCTTATTTATCCTCATCTCTTCTTCTCTTGGCTTGTCTCACCTCGTGCTCATCGCATCGTATCTAAGCTTAAGCCATCCTATACATCCTATACTATAGTGAGCCGTGCTCTCACGTTTTCTCAATGTCGAACTGCGGAGCTTCTGCAATCTGCACGCGGCGCCAGTGAGACGCAATTAATACATATACTTGGCGCCGAGAATACATATACTTGGCGCCAGTGGTACCCGTATGACTTCAACGCACCTGAAACGCACCTGTTCACGCAAAAAGAAGCAGTTAAAGACTTTAAAGAGCACTACAATGCAAACGAAGGACCTGGACAAAGATCCGCAGATATTGGCAGCTGTTCTGCAATTTGCAAAGACGAGTTGGAAATGTTGGAAGACAACATGTGACTAAGAAAAATGGCTTTGTCTGAAAAGCTACCTCAAAATGCCATGGTTTCTTGAGGTTTCTTGTCACAGTTCCATGGCAGGACTACAATGCCATGTATAGTGCGCAACATTAATAACGTGCTGTCATGTGCAGATATTAATGCCAGAATAGATGAAAATTATAGTTCTGTAGATATTAAGTGTATTTAAGTGTTATATGTCATACTGAGTCATACTTGCCAACTGTCATTCTTGTTGGATTCATTAATAAATCAAAAAGTCACGTCATGTCGGGTAATGTCATCTTTTTCTGTCACCTAAAATCATGTAATGTTGGTCATGCCGGAGGCCTGATCCCATACGCCATCCCAGGATCGTGAAGGCGGGTTCTCCAAGTAGAACTTACAACCTGAAGACCATCGAAAGAGACCGTGAAACGTGAAACGTTGCCTTATAAGTAGCGATGTATAGTGAGATACCTATAGACGCCTACAGATATGACTATGGTTAATGGATGTTAATGGGGTCTATAAACCAACTTACAACTGGGGGGCACCATCCTGTTTCTGGCTGTTGATCTAATTCACTCACCTGAAAATGGCTATTTACTCGTCCAACGAACGTAACGAACGCGGTGCAAACTAAGAAACGGTTCTGCATCAGGAGAGCCGCTGAGTCCTAGCGAGGAGTGACTGCATGTCATGGGCAGGTCACTTAAAATCATTTGGGGATGGGTCAAAACCAATAGTACCCCTGTAGTTCACATCAAAATAGCTGGGATTTATGGATGTGAATAACCCACTAAAAATGGTATTAATAGGTATTGATCCATACCCATTTAATGTGGGTAACACATGGTAAAACAAGAATAAACCATCCCCCAGTCATCACCATTTTTATAGGTGGTATGTTTACCATTCCAGGTCACGGGTGGTTTATGGCATTGTTTTACACACATTATATGAAGATATAAAAGACCCCCTGTGAATTTCAGGATGGGGCGGCTGTGAAACCATTTTGTAGTGAATAAACGGGCTGTGCATAGCCTCAAGCTCTACTAAATGGTTGTGCATGCATGGTCGAATTTCTCTACCAGATGGTGGCCCTTGGTTCAGCTGAAGTGCAAATTTGGATACCATCTGGTTATTTAACATAGCCATGGAAAATCACCATTTTTTATAGGTGAACCATCTATAAATGGGCCATTTCCCATGGCTATGTTAGTCATAACCAGAGGGTAGATTTTGGAAGTGTCTTAAGAGAGCAACATGACTCGAGCCTTCTACCCTGTTCCATTTTGTCGAGCTCCTCATTTGACCATTCTGGTTGAGGGACCAACATGACTCGACCAAAATCCCCAAAGCCATTTAGTAGAGAAAAACAGGAAACACATAGAAAGGCAAGTGAACAAATCAATGCAAATCAACCCTTTTCATCCCTGTTTTTCTCCAACAAAATTATTGTTTCATAAAATATCACAGTATATATCAGTATATCATATTGATTTACTTCAACCCTGGAATATCTATGATATTGACATTCTAGAATCTCTATGCTTTTTTTAGCATCATCTGGATTGATCTGGTTCATCTGGATGGCCACATGGCTATCTCTACTGGTGTTTCACAATTTTCTCATTCATTGAATGACCGGTTCATAAACCCTACCGGCTGCAACCTCAAAAATCACCTCATTTCCAACTGGTTTCTGGCATCACCTCTGAAATCTCTACCAACTGGATGGTTTCAGCAAAAAATGACCACTTGACATCGTGATGTCATTAATATGACGACAACATATCGTTTTTACCTCTCAACTAGATGGTGATCACTAAAGGTCTAGTGATGTTTACTTGACTTTTAATTGATACATCAGGATTCTCTACTAAATGGTTTTCTGACATGTCACTATAAATTGTTGGTTAGATTTGCGGGACCTAGGTCACAACATTTAGTGAAAATCAAGAAAGATCATATATACACGCTGAGTCACATAGAAATATACCACGGCAAATAGCTTCAAAAATTGAATGCTGAATCACTTGCGTTTCAGCACCGATGAAATGGATGCTCCTGGGGACCCAGTTTTTTGGAGAGCTTGGCATATTTCTGGAAGAGCTCACTCGCCTGCAGTTGGAATTCGCCAGCACACTCACTGACGACACTCCGCATCGGAAATTCTCAGACAATCCCAGCCTGGATCACTGAATATCACTGATATCTACTCGACATAGCTGGGACACCAAAGTAGAGGCTTGAAGGATCCCGGGGAGCCGAGATAATATGAAAAATATGAAAGCATTGGGACCTGAAGAGTTTGTCTTGCAACCTTTTGGTTCCAACTTGAGTAACAACTTGGAGTTTGGGGGATTTCTGTGGTCGCAAAAGTGAATCTGTATCTCTGACAGACCTCAACTATCCTTGGCCACAAGAACCACACCCAGACACATCGACTCGTATTTTTGTTGCCACTCCACCTTCTTGAAGTTTTGAGACCGGTAGTTTCTGTAGGCTTCCTGGTAGGTTGCAGCCATCCTCGGTACCCGTTGTCGAATGTGACCTTCCTACATGTTAAAGTCTGGCCAGTAAGTTGAAGCAGTAGACCTCAACTTGCCCAGTTTCCTGTCCATGACTTTTACAAGTCCTGAGTCCTGGAATATTTAACAATCATCACAAGTTCATCCTGTGCCTCCACAAAAACTTGAGCCCTCGTGGCACTCCCAACCAGAACGTTTGTATGGAAAACCTGGTCCAGCCCTATTCTGCCCATTTATCCCAGCTCAACTACGGGCAAATTGTAGGCTTCAGAGTGCAGATACGAAAATCCGACTCTCAAAATGATGAAACTTGCAAAAATAATATACACAATCATGATTCGATCATGTATAATACCAACAAATGCTCTGAAAACATCTCTAGACCAATATTTGAATGGTAAAAATACCTGCAAGAAACCTGAAGAAACATGCAATAACTTTGCTGTCCATTCCAACCCACAAGAATTACCCCAGAACAGTGTCATGAATTCGGATTTTCCCGACGTTTCTGTGCCAAGAATCTTCTCCATCCTGGCGGATCTACAGATCTGCAGATCAAAGAAATCTCTGGTTGGTGGTTGAGCTACCCAACCCCTCTGGTTTAATATATGGTTACTATTATTAATGGTTATATAATATATGATTAATGATGGTTATTATATGATTAATGATGGTTAATGTATATATATATATATTATATTATATATATATATTATATATATATTATATATTATATATTATATATATATTATATATATATATATATTATATATATACTGGTTGGTGGTATACCAACCTACCCCTCTGAAAAATGATGGAGTGAGTGAGTGAAAGTCAGTTGGGATGATTTTTCCATTCCCAACTGTTTCTGGAAAGAAAAATAAAACATGTTCCAAACCGCCAACCAGTCTTGTTCCATGTTGTTCCTACTGTTTTTTCCCTGTTCTATCTCGATTTCCTGGAGAAAAAATTGGGAAACAGAAATTGTAAATTGAGGAACAAGTTCAAGTGGGAAGGAAAAGAATGCAAAAAAAAGAGGAGAAATTCTGGCGGAAACTGGAGACAACTTTAAAGCATTTTGAAGCAAATGAAAAGTGATTCGAAGGTAAAATGGATGTAAATGGTAAGTCGAGTGAGAAGCAAACGGCAATTTTTTGGGGAAGATAGATTGGAAACACGTCAGCGCTAGTTACGCTAGTTGAAAGTTTTCCTTGGCATCTCAGAAGCATGTCGATTTCTCGAAAGTCATGCCATGTCATGCCACTTTGGAAAAAGACCCATGGGTTTTGGTATCATGGTGGCATGACTTGGTCTCATGGTATTGGTATCATGGTATGACTATCTTCTCAACGGCCGAGAAGTTCATGGTATTGGTATCATTGATTCGATACTCTTTTTCGATGCGGCTCTGGACTCAGCCGTGGCGCCCAATCGTCGAGTTGTTGCGAGTTTGTTGTAGCGTTTGTTTGTTGGTTTGTTGACATTTCTTGAGAAAACGGAGAAAACGCCCAGACTTCACTGACGTCGGTGAATCTTAGTCCAGTTTCAACATAGACTGGGATCTTATCTGTCAATCTGGGGGTTTGGTTTCTGGGAGATGGGAGAAGTTCAGTGGCAGAGGGCTGGGGTCAGAAACGCTGGGTGGAAGCAACTGAATGGGGTGGGAAGCCTGGGTGAAATACTGGAGTTGGGAGGTGGGGATGTGGAGTTAGGTTGGGTGCTGGCTAGGAGGTTGATCAAGAGGAAAGACATGTGAAGTGAGACATGAAGGCAATTGAAAATATTGAAATGGGAATTCTGATTCGAAGATATTCAAAGTCAACTGTGAAGTAGATACCCAAGGTATCCCAAGGTCGTTCAGAAGTGAAAGCCTAGCCTATTTGACTGTTCGCACAGTTTGAGAAATGCAGACGCTCAGCGAGCCCCCCGGGCCCGGCCCGGCACCCGGGGCACCTTTCGGTTTTGGTCACCTTCTCAGCGCCATCTGCCAGGCCCAGGACATTGTAGACAATGGTGGATTCACGATCGCTATTCCTGGCGATAAAAGATGTCCCCTTGGAGATGTTGAGAAAAAAAAACCATGGTGTCTTTGTCAGCAAGTGCTACTACGTTTTTGGATGCGAGAATCTCGAACATCTTCCGGAAACTCCATGGTATTTCATGGTAGTTTACAGCAAGCTTAGCTTGTGTGTGTGTGCGGGCTCTGTTCGCTGTCAACTACCTCAACTGAACAAAATCTCCTCAGGTAGATAGAGTCCACCGGCCTGCCAAAAAGTCGAGGCACCGGAAATCTGAAGCTTCAAGGCAATCTCCCACATCAACTTTGCCAAATTGGGAATTTCAAGACTTTCAGAACTAAAATTGAGCGAATGGAACAGATTGGAACTATGCAGTCTGGGAATCTCGAACATTCTGAATTGGAGGGCCCAGGGGCACGACACCTTTAGGGCTTTGGGCTGGGGGTGTGGGCTGAAGAATGAACCTATTTGACGTCTTTTTTGTTTGCAAGTCAAACAAGAGGGTGGGGGCACGGCACCTACAAGGTACACAATAGGTACACGATCTTTCAAGTTCACCAGTCAAAATCTGATTAGCAGAAGCAAGCCCCAGCCCTATAACTACAGATATCCGGATAGCTGATCCAGCACGATCCAGCGGTGTCCAGTTGTCTCAGGGGCAACTACTGTGGGATATCATTGGCTGAAGCTCGGCCACGGTGCCACGGGCCCTGTTAATGCAACTTTAGATGGGGCATGATGGGGCATGATGTGAATGACAAGCACAGCAAAAGGATGCAAAAGGTAGAAAAGAACATCTGCATGATAAGGGTTTGTCTGAAAATAGGGTATATTCCCAATGAAATAGCCATTTAATAGGGATAATGATCAGCAAAACCATTGGGAAAATGGGGTACACTATTTTCAGACACACCCATAATGATTCAATAAAACGCAACCCTGTATATGAAAATCTATATATAAAGCAGGTGTCAACTACACCTCGCAGTGCCACAGGCTGCCACAGTCTAGCCGCAGGCCTAGTGATGAAAGTATCCGGTGGCAAGTTGATGTAGGTGTCCTGACATGGCGCGGCAAGAATATTTTCCAGGTGACAGGGGTTTTTTTCGTGCACAGTAAGGGTATTTTTCCGGGTACGTTGAGGGAGTACAATGGGAGTACAATCGGGGTTCAATGGGGGTACAGAAAACTGCAGAATTGTGCAGATCTGAGAAAAGCCCTGCACATGCGATGTCAGCGTCCTCCGAGATTAAATTGCTGCTGCTATACCTGGTGCTCCGCATCAACTGATCCGATCGTTTTTGCAATCCGCCTCCCTCAGCCTAGCCCAAACATGCCCAGACAACTTCAGCCGCTTCCCTTGCCCATGTTGTTCGAAGTGGATCAAACTCATGAAACCATGATCAAATCCCATCGAATTCGATCCGAAACAGATACCTCGTCCCATTTTGTGTCCCATTTTGAGGTCGGCGTCCGCAGGTCCGCAGGGCACGTCTTGTTCAGTTCTTCCAACTTGCTGGGGATGTTGGCATTCTCTCCCGTCAAGCCATACCTGGCATTTCTCTCTGCTTAAGGTGCCTCCATGGGGCCTCCATGGGGCCGGGAGGGGCCATGGGGCCATGGGGCGGAAAACGCCCGGTGGGGAGGCCCGGTGGGGCACTTGATCCTGGAGTGGAAGCCCATGTTGCCAACCAACACCTGCAGCGAGAGCAAGACATGCGACCATTAAGCACCAACCTGGAAGCTGGAAAACAACTGCGATGGGTGAAGAGCAGAATGGTCCTCGGGAGACGTTAAGAATCGTTAAGACATGTTTTGAGACCAAAAAAAGCACCAAGTTCTCTGAAACACAGAATGTGGCTATGGTTGAAAAAAGTTGAAAATCAGCAAGCTGGTCAGATTTGGCTCATGGATTATGATGTAATGCTGTATGATCGCATATGATTGCATCAATGATAGTCCTCAACATATAGAGAAAATTGTGTCGCTTCTCTACTGAATCAGCCTCGCCGGTGTGGACCCCACAGCGAATGCTCACCTGGCAATACGATCGGAACATGATTGGGATATGATTAGATGCTGCGATTCTCTGCGATTTTCATGGGACTTTAGACTAAGAGGTTACAAAAATATCTGGCTTGGCGGCTTCAGGGATGAAGCCGCTGATTAAAGATGACTTGTGATGACTTGTGAACATCCTTCCTACACGGAGATTGGACCCAGTGTAGCCCAAGCCAGCTGTCACTGGTCGAAAAAAATGAATAGAATGGTAAGCCTTGAATTGAGCAAAGGTGAGCCAGTCCAAGGATCCCAAACAAGAATCGTGGAGCGCCTGCGGCAAGGAGCGGTGCTTGGACCAGGCGTTGATTCGATCAGTAGCCTCGCAGCAAGAAATGGACCTGTTCCAACAGCTGTTCCTGTTCCGCATATTTGGCATACCATCTGGTAATTTATAACATAACTATGGAAAATCACCATTTTTCATATCGGTAAATTCACTATCAATGGTGATTTTCCCATAGTTATGTTATAAATTACCATTTTTGGTACTTCCCCCCGGCCATCGCCGAAGTCCGATTTCGTCGACGTCATGACTCGAAACGATCCCCTTCAGCGAAACTTCGAACGATACAGTGGCATGGACGGGCCGTCAACGATACCAGACCTTCAGCATCTTCAGTGTTGCTCGTACACCAGCCTGGTTGAAACCACTGGTTTTTTTTGAAAAAGGGCTGGAGTTCTGGACGTTGAATTGAACTGTTGGACTGCAGCTCAACACACTAAAGTTTCACTAAATCATCCAAATCATGACTGCTTCAAATCCATCGCACGAGTCAAAGCACAACGAGACAACCAAACCGTAGTCCATAGTAGTATGTCATGAATATGCAACCGCCACTTAAGCTGCTCCCTGTGGTTCCCGGCATCTGCATGCATTGGATTGCGCAAGGGAGCCCCATAGACAGAAAGAATGGCATCTCCAATAAACTCCTGAGCGTCAAGGAGATTCTATGACATCCAAGTTCTTCTGGGCATGGCTTGTTGCCTTTGTATGCCTTTGTGCATGGCCAAGCTCAAAATTGACAATGTGCAAGTCAAGCAACAATGACAATCCCGCCGTGATTGTCGATGACCTGCAAGATCATCCGTGCTCGGAGCACTGTTGACACTGTTGACCGGTGAATTTTGTCACTCCAGATAAACAGAAATAAACAAAGAAGAAGGGAGAAAGTTTTCAAGGCATGCTACGGTACGCATCACCATTAGAATCATTAGATCAGGTCCCTAAAGTCAACAATCTTACCACGAGTTTTTCGCCTAACCGCCGCTGTTTCTCCAAGTTTGCCACGAGATCTCATCCAATCAGGCCGATCTGCACCTGCGACATGTCATTGAAGTATCTGCTCAGCAGCACCAAAGACCGTTCCTGAGAGCACCAGGATCCTTGAGCAGTTGAAGTTGCAGTTGGTTGAAGACTGATGGTACCCTGATAGGAGCCTGATAGGATATTCATATACCCTCTGGTGATTTAACATAGCTATTGAACATGGTCCTTTTATAGTTGATTTTCCTATTAAAAGTGGTGGTTTTCCATAGCTATGTTAGTTTACCAGAGGGTATATATTCATGGATGTTCGAAGCGTGCCTCAAAACCACCAACAAAGCCAAGCGCGGAGCCGGAAAGAACCATGCCTAACTCCGAGAATCCGATCCCATCCCGGATCCTTTGTGGTGGCACCGAGCTGCCGGAGGGAGCTTCTCAACGATCGTGGTAAAGCCAGCAATGTCCGAAAAGAACATCCTGGAGATGGCAGGAGACGACAGGAGAATCGGAAACCTTGGTGGATTCTTACAGTACCCGGCCTGGTAAACGTTTACATTTTACATAGCGGAAAATGGCCCATTTATGGATGGTTTGCCCATTTTCATAGCATGGTGATTTTCCAATATGTTCCATAGTTACGTAAACGTTTACCAGAGGGTAGATTGATTGATCATGATTGATCCATATTGATCCCTTTCCTTCCACTATCGAAACATATCGAAACCAAAGGATGTTTCGCCAGGCCAATTTGGCGTCACCACCAGAAATGTCGCCAAAGCACGTCACTTCCATCATGCCCAACTTTAAGGCGGAGTCGATTCCTGGCAGAGGACGGTAGAACTGAGGCTATCTCAAGAACATTCAAGAACCAAGTCCTCACAGGAGCAAAACATGTAAATTACCATAATAATATCCATAAATATCCATAAATATCCATAAATATCCATAAATATCCATAAATATCCATAAATATCCATAATGTATCCATCAATCACCTTTGTCACTTTCTCCGGTTTTGGTTTTTTGTGCCAGTTCTTCCTCTCTCGTAGCTGCCCAGGTCACCCCCATGGCCTGCAGCCAACAGTATCTGAACCACAGGCCATGGCACGTATTTTCCCCAACTTCGAATCGCTGTCTTCCTCGGAGGTCGTGGGAATTCTCGTGAAAAATCATGGGGGGTGAAACGGTGAAAGATCATGAAAGGTGAAACCGAGAATGCTTTCCGAACAAGGAATCTCTCACCAAAAATGCCCCACAAACTCTGCACGTTTTCTGCACTGCCCGGGCACGTTTTTTCGAAGATGCCCTCAATAAGTCGAATCTGACGGAGGGGAAAGCATTGGAAACCTGACTAAACCTGCCTTCAAGACCACCACTGGGGCAAATTGCTTTGCCGGCACAAGACTCACAAGATCTATTGATAAATCATGATTAATGAATATGAATGATAATTTATCATTTTTTTGATAAAATCTGGATTGTGATCGATTTGCGCGCCTCCGCGACATTTCGGTCGAAGTTGATGACGGCTTTGTTACTTTGAAGCCCTGCCAGTTGCATCTGGGTAACGCTCCTAAGCGTCGGCGTGGCCATGGCTGGCCATTCGGCCAAGCTGTTTCGAGATTCACCATGATTATAGGTGATGATTCACCTAAAAATTTGGTCACTTCAAAGGCCTTTCCATGTGTGGCATTCTAAAGTAGTTGATCAAAATCATTCCAAATCACACACAAGTCATCCAAAAGTGACAAAACTGCAACAATTGACCTCTACATTGACATCTGCCACCCGTCTTGGATCGCGACCCTGGATCTGGCTATTCGACGCGAGCATAGAACCCTTCAAAAGACACGCAACTGCGGCTAATGTAAGGTACGAGGCAAGCGGCTAGCTGTAGATCCGTTTCTAGCTACAGATCCTCTACCCTCTGGTAAACTAACATAGCTATTGAAAATGGCCCAGTCGAAATAGTGGATGTTCCCATGAATAGCATGGTGGATCTTTCCAGTTCGTTATCTTAGTCATTACCAGAGGGTATTCTATGTTCAGCAATGAATTTGACGGGAAAGCCAGCGATTCCATGTCCAATGTTTGGGTACCCGTAATAAACCGCAAGATGGATGCAGCCGGCAGTGTCAGCATCATTCACGTTTAACTCATGGACCAACATCGTTCGCTAATAGCTACGTGCCGATATGGAAATGACAGGCATGTAGGATACCCTCTGGCAATTTCACGGAGCTAATGGGTGGCAATTGCCATAGAAATAGATATTTATAGTATTTTATAGTTGATTTACCCAGGATTTACCCATGAAAAATGGTGATTTTCCATAGCTATGTGAATTTACCAGAGGATAATCTAAAGGCTCGTTCGGAAGGCTTCTGATTCGAGGAGAAAAAAAATCGCCGAGCATCTGCATGTCATCAGCCAATAGGCGCAGCGGGCGTAGCAGCCCCCTGGCGGAGCAACAAGACTGCCAAAGGAAGAAATGATCAAATCTGACAAATCTGATAAAATTAATATAAAAAGTGACCAAAAATGGTGATTTGTGATTTACTCATTAAAAATGGTGATTTTCCGTAACGGTTGTGGAGATGTCCAAATCCGGAGGTTTTTTTCATCGAATCGTTTCCCCAAGATCTGCCATCCAAGACACGAGGATAGCACACTGATATCTCGGGTGAAGACATAGATGCCCGCCTTGGACAAAGCGAAGCTGCACACAGCGGTCCACCCCTAACCCCGCTGTGGATGGTTCAGAAATGTTCAGTTGATGTCACTTGGGCTTGGGGAAAGCTGTTCATGAAAAACACAATTCGGGTGGATGCTTGTGGTCATAGTCCCAACTACATGAGTAATTATAGTCATGTGAATATCGATCAGATGAAGCTTGTCATATCTTGTCATTAGCCTTTCCAATTAGCCAACCTTCAGAAAACCGGAAGTCTGAAAACCTCCAGGATGGTGGTCAGATCATCAGATCATCAAATGCCAGACTGGTCCAAAGTACGAGAATCAAGATGATGGCCGTGCTTGTCACTATCACAGAGAAGATCGCATTCTGCTCCTGTGCCAAGCAGGTGCCAATATCATCCAATATCAATGAGATGAAAAATGAGTCATCGAGTCGTCATCATCTGACAAGGGTCAAGGAATGTCAAGGATATCAAGGGGTGCTGGGAGGGTAACATGGGTAACGGGGTAACGACTAACGAAGGAGATAGGAGGAAGGTGTGGACGGATTGATCCACGGCAAGCCTTGAAGACTCTGAGTTTTTGCTGGAACCCATCCTAGTTGAGAAAGGTGCTCTCCCCTCCCCTGTCCAGTCAAGCGCTTTGATTTGCTCATGACTTGTTACCCACTAATTTGCCTTTTCCAACTTTTTCCTATGCTTCAGAACGCACTTTTGGACCCACAGAGAGTCAGCAGGTGAGTTAGAAACATGGTGTCCTTGAGCAAGTTGGTTTCAGAGCAACTTACGATCAGCTCTCCTGAAGGTACCGAATATTCAGCAAGGCCAATGATGTGACCCTGCGATTGAGATCTTCCAGCCTCAGGTATCTTCACTCATAGACCCATGCAAATGCTGTGCAGGAAAATCACCACACCCACTGTACCAGGTGTACGGGAATTGGCAACCAAACAGCCTCCCGGATCGTTGGAAAAGTGCTAAAAATGGGAAGGGTCCAGGGCTAAGCAAAATGAGAAAGACTGCCGTGGGCCCTTTTTGCATGATCCAAACCGCCAGTGACGCCAAAATGATTTCTGAAAGAAGTTGGTCCAGAGTTCAGTCGTATACACCTACGGCTCCCAGCATTCAATGTGTCAAAGCCAAGGCCATCCTAATCTTTGAAGGATGTCACACTGATGTGACCTGTTTGTTGCCTCAGGTATCGAATATACAGCATGTATCACAGCATGTATAGCATGTGCAGTTGTAGTTCAATAATTCCTACTACTCAGATGAGGCGAGGTTTGATGTGAGATGAGGCTTTGATTGCTTTGATTCAACCCTTTACTGGATTCATTCTTTGGATTGGTTCATGCCGCTGTAAATGTAAAAGTCATCAACTACAGAGTTGACAAAGGCCGAGCTAGCAGCATTCAACACACTCCAGTAAGACTTTCACGTGCCTTCATGATGAATCTGACCCACTGTCAAATTTCAATCGGTTTCAATCTACTGCTTGCACGCCTGCGTATGTTTTTTAGCTGCCATCTGTTGGCAAAAAGTAAACGTTCGCAGACTCACCGGGTTACGCTTGTTACACCAGCCTCCACAAGTGATTGTTTCACATAATATGGAGCACACCCTAAGTCAAGTTTGACACCTCCAATGAAAGCAAACCCAAGAAAAACCTCTTCCAATGGTATAACGGGTATACTCGGGTATGGTCTCTTGGATCAGTCGTATTCGTATTAGCATAACGCCAATGAGCAAGCATGATGATGTACTATGATATTGATTGATGATTATGGTTATTGTATTGTTATTAATGATATTAATTACGGATATTAATGATTATTAATATTGATATTACTATGACCCATAGGATCCATGTATGCTATATATGGTAACATTTACCATCAATATACCCCAGTCATGTTAGCATATATACCAGCACCATGGATCCTATGGGTGATGATGTTCGTTTTCGGCGGTGTCTGCTTACTTAGTTGGACAAGGAACGACGTTGCCGCCTCACGCTGGCTATCATCTGGCACCCGCAACAGGACCACGTCCTGATGGTCCACAGATTTCAGTCCCATCGAATCTGGCTCTGGATCAAAACTCACTCCGGGACGCAGAAATGGGAGTTGCTGGGATGATGAAATTACTAGTGATGACTGGGATCATTCCCGAAAATTCCCTACGTAAAACGCATCAGTAAGTCATTTTTAAGTGAAGAATATGAATGAATCATCCAAATTTGGGCTTCGTGATGTTGATTTAGATTCGTTCCCTGAAATCAGTGAGCTAAGGAATGAACCTTTGCCAGTTTCTGCGTGCATAGCTCTGTTGAGTGAGGAACGAGAAAAGGAGCCACAAAGCCACATAGCAAAATCACATGCTCAAAGTCGTTTGCAGGTCAGGGTAGAGGGCTTTCGTTTTTCTATACATGTGTGTATAGCATTGTATAGCCTCTTAGATAATCTTAGTATAAATATATGTATAAATTTGTATAAATAGATACACACAACTACCACTTGATGATTCTTAAGGTACTCTTGTCACTTGAAAGCAAACCGCACTTAAGGCTTTTTTCTGGAGCTGTCCCATCATTCCAAACAGGGATAGCTGCTATGGATTCCATAGATTCCATAGTCATGTGGATACCCAGCTGGTTTTTTCTCAAAATGCTGGGAAAATCCATGGGAAAATCCCCATCGAAAATGCAAAAATAGCCGCCAGGGTACCCCCAGAAACTCAAGGGAAACCCCTCCATTGACGACTCCATCCATCCAAGGATAGTGTATCATCGGTGACTCACAGTGCCCCCACAGAATGGCCACCATTTAGGTATTATGACAGAACAGATGGCTTGGGATATGCCATTATTTTCATATCCACTTAAAGAGATTCATATGATTTTTCTGACTTTTCTGTACGGACTTCACCAAGCCGAGGCTTGGCACAGCCTACCAGCCTAGTCTGTGAAAATTCAAGGCCCTAGACGATGTTCCCCCTGGCCCTAAGCAGTGCATCTCAAATACAATGCTTCCAAGGCTGCGGTGCTTTAGTAAGTTTCCTACGTTTCCCTTTTTTTTAACCCTTACTACTCCAAAAAAAAGCTGCTCACGTGAAGACTTGCATTCCCAAGAAACATGTCGCAGTCGCTTGATTCACAAATTTAAAAAAAAAATCAAATCTGCGTGTAATGTCAACTCCGGATTTTGCTAAACCATGGTTTATTAATTAGGGGGGGTACTCCTCCAATAGTCATTTCATCTAATACATCACCATGACTTTACCCTGCTGCCAAAGAGGCTGAATGCCGGTGCGAAGACTTCTGAAACGCCTGCAGAATGCCCCCCGACCTTTCAGCACCCCGACCTACTGGGAGCTGGGCCAAACCTCGTCCACGGCGGTCAAGGATCCACGTTGCGGCCACAGCCAGGGGTCGTGGGCCATTGTGCAGCTGACTGCGGTGCGGTTATGGCAAGAAAAAAGACGCCTAGAAAGATGCAACAAGATGCAACAAGATGCAACTTAAGTATTATTTCATTCTTCAAAACCATGTCATATTTCATGTCATATTTGTCAGTCAAACCATGTTCATTTCATGGCAAACTCCAAAGGCATCCAACACAGAAAACGCCTGCAGAATTGCCCTGGTCCAGCTCGTTGCACACCGTTCCTCGGCCGGCGGCCGTGATGGCCTGGTGATCTGGTGATCTGCCAAGAGTTTTGAGCTAATCCACACCCATATGCGAACCATGGTGCTGGAATATGCACACCAACATTTACCCCATAAATCACCCAGTTATGTAGGTAAATAATACTATACATGGAGCATATGGGACATGGGCATTCTACGGAGAGCCACCAAGAAATCCAACGGATCATTACCAGCGCAGCATAGGAATCTCGCCAAGGATCTCTGCGCCACGTCCAGAAATATCAGGCCTGATATTTATGAAAATGCTGACAAAAAAATGCCGCTGATGCCATATGATGCCATGAACATCAACGATATCAAACGCAAAATAATTCACCACATGATATTCAGCGCTATGAGCTGTCCAGATCTGGACATATCTGGACACTGGAGCCGTAGAGAGTTGGATTCATACTGGAATCATACCCCCATCAACTGCGGCGTTCTTTTTGCGACCAAGCCACTTCCTTGAATCGAATCAGGATCTAATGAGGTACTCCACAGCAAGACAGAATGCTGCATCGTCTCGGGCAAGAACAGCCTCGCTGGTGAGACTTCCAGAACTTCATCGAACCAGAGGAACTGTGGAAACACAACATGAAGATCATGAAGCAACCACAACACAAATACCATCCAAGACATACAAGATATGGATAGAACATGATAGATAATGATAGATATTGACTAGAAGATATACCAGCTACGAATCTATGCAGTCCATGATAGTCCATGCGTCACCTTGGGACCTGTTGGGTCATCGTCACGTTGGGTCGATCCAAGATGATCCAAGCAACGAGGAGTTGGCGGAGTAAGCCCCTGCACCGTCCAGCATGCTCAAGGTTTGCCTGGCCAATGACTTACTGGTGCGTTTTACGTAGGGAATGGATGGGAATTGGGGGTGTTGGGATGATTATTAGATATCCGCCGACCCCGGCAGACGCAAGGGGGAGCGCGCCAGGGAATAATACTTTTGACCCTGGTTTCGGACCAGTACCACTTAGGATGGCACTAATGGGTGTCAAGAACGTGGACAAGAGCACGCAAAAGGTGTACATAGCCAGTAGCTAGCAGCCTGCGCCAGTAGCAGCCATGGGTGTCAAGAACATGGGCAAGAGCACGCAAAAGGGCAGCAGCAGCAGCAGCAGCAGTTGGCAGTTTTTTCATTTGTATGGTACCAATGGGTGTCAAGAACATGGGCAAGAGCACGCAAAAGGCAGCAGCAGCAGCAGCAGTTGTTTCTTGCTTTGGAAGCAGTTTGATTGCAGCAGCACGACAGCAGCACCACAGCAGCAGCAGCCTGCGCCAGTAGCAGCCAGCAGCCAGTAGCCAGCAGCCTACTAAAAATCTAGATTTTTCTAGGATTTCAGACGACACGTTAGGCACTTTTTTGGCGTGGTTCTGGCACTCGCTCGTCCTTCAGAGCCCTGGTGTTTTCCCCCGGGAGGTGATTTTTTCGAAACTGTTTTACTGCTAGCAGCCGCCAGCAACAGAATCTGTCGAAAAATTGTGTTTTTCTAAGATGTCAGACGACACGTTAGGCACTTCCAGGGCACTTCTATATATCTTGTATATATTTCTATAGGGTTTCAGATGTCACGTTTGGCAGTTTTCTCATTTATATGGCACCAATCGGTGTCAAGAACATGGGCAAGAGCACGCAAAAGGGCAGCAGCAGCAGCAGCAGCAGCAGTTGTTTCTTGCTTTGGAAGCAGTTTGATTGCAGCAGCACGACAGCAGCACCACAGCAGCAGCAGCCACCAGCAGCAGCACCAGCAGCAGGCAGCAGGCAGCAGGCCGCCGCAGGCAGCAGCAGGCAGCAGCAGGCATCAGTAGGCAGCAGCAGACACAAGCAGACGCAGCAGCAGTAAGCGCAACGGCAGCAGTGCAGCAGCTAGCAGCACGAAAAATTATGTTTTTCTAGGATGGCACTAATGGGTGTCAAGAACGTGGGCAAGAGCACGCAAATACTTGCACATAGCCAGTAGCTAGCAGCCAGCGCCAGTAGCAGCCAGCAGCCAGTAGTCAGCAGCCTACCAAAAATCTAGATTTTTCTAGGATTTCAGACGACACGTTAGGCACTTTTTTGGCGTGGTTCTGGCACTCGCTCGTCCTTCAGAGCCCTGGTGTTTTCCCCCCCGGGAGGTGATTTTTTCGAACCTGTTTTACTGCTAGCAGCCGCCAGCAACAGAATCTATCGAAAAATTGTGTTTTTCTAGGGTGTCAGACGACACGTTAGGCACTTCTATATATCTTGTATATATTTCTATAGGGTTTCAAACGTGACGTTTGGCAGTTTCCTCGTTTATATAGCACCAATGGGTGTCAAGAACATGGGCAAGAGCACGCAAAAGGTGCACATAGCCAGTAGCTAGCAGCCAGCGCCAGTAGCAGCCAGCAGCCAGTAGCCAGCAGCCTACCAAAAATCTAGATTTTTCTAGGATTTCAGACGACACGTTAGGCACTTTTTTGGCGTGGTTCTGGCACTCGCTCGTCCTTCAGAGCCCTGGTGTTTTCCCCCGGGAGGTGATTTTTTCGAAACTGTTTTACTGCTAGCAGCCGCCAGCAACAGAATCTGTCGAAAAATTGTGTTTTTCTAGGATGTCAGACGATACGTTAGGCACTTCTATCTATCTTGTATATATTTCTATAGGGTTTCAGACGTCACGTTTGGCAATTTTCTCATTTATATGGCACCCATGGGTGTCAAGAACATGGGCAAGAGCACGCAAAAGGGCAGCAACAGCAGCAGCAGCAGCAGAAGCAGCAGCAGCAGCACGACAGCAGCACCACAGCAGCAGCAGCCACCAGCAGCAGCACCAGCAGCAGGCAGCAGGCAGCAGGCCGCCGCAGGCAGCAGCAGGCAGCAGCAGGCATCAGTAGGCAGCAGCAGACACAAGCAGACGCAGCAGCAGTAAGCGCAACGGCAGCAGTGCAGCAGCTAGCAGCACGAAAAATTGTGTTTTTCTAGGATGGCACCAATGGGTGTCAAGAACGTGGGCAAGAGCACGCAAAAGGTGCACATAGCCAGTAGCTAGCAGCCAGCGCCAGTAGCAGCCAGCAGCCAGTAGCCAGCAGCCTACCAAAAATCTAGCTTTTTCTAGGATTGCAGCAGCAGCAGCAGCAGCGGCAGCAGCAGTTGTTTCTTGCTTTGGAAGCAGTTTGATTGCAGCAGCACGACAGCAGCACCACAGCAGCAGCAGCCACCAGCAGCAGCACCAGGCAGCAGGCAGCCGCAGGCAGCAGCAGGCAGCAGCAGGCATCAGTAGGCAGCAGCAGACATAAGCAGACGCAGCAGCAGTAAGCGCAACGGCAGCAGTGCAGCAGCTAGCAGCGAGCTAGCAGCCAGCCTCGAGAAACGTATAGCAAGCTTTTTGTAGGAGATTTCAGAAGGGACTTTCCGGCCTCGGGAAACGCATATTTTGGACTCCGTTCGTCCTTCAGGGCCATGGTGTTTCCCCGTCCGGCAGGGCTGTGTCTTTGTGGGCACAGCAGCAGCAGTCGCTGTCGCCTCTCAGTAGCATGGGGTTTCCTTGCCGGAAACCGTCTTTTTGAAGGGTCAGCTGCACCAGCAGCAGCAGCAGCAGCAGCAGCTCTAATAGAATTTTTCTCTAGGGTTCCAGTAGCATCAGTAGCAGTAAGAGCAACGGCAGCAGTGCAGCAGCTAGCAGCGAGCCAGTAGCCAGCATTGAGAAACGTATGAGAAACGTACAGCAAGCTTTTTGTAGGAGATTTCAGAAGGGACGTTCCGGCCTCGGGAAACGCATATTTTGGACTCCGTTCGTCCTTCAGGGCCATGGTGTTTCCTCGTCCGGCAGGGCCGTGTCTTTGTGGGCACAGCAGCAGCTCCAATAGATTTTTTTTCTAGGGTTCCAGCAGCATCAGTAGCAGTAAGAGCAATCAGTAGCAGTAAGAGCAACGGCAGCAGTGCAGCAGCTAGCAGCGAGCCAGTAGCCAGCATCGAGAAACGTATAGCAAGCTTTTCTAGGATTCTAGGAGTAGGAGACAAGCTTTTTTTAGGAGATTTCAGAAGGGACGTTCCGGCCTCGGGAAACGCATATTTTGGACTCCGTTCGTCTTTCAGGGCCATGGTGTTTCCCCGTCCGGCAGGGCCGTGTCTTTGTGGGCACACCAGCAGCTTTTTGTTTGAGTGCAGTGTAATTGTCCGTGGTCACCTTTCAGCTTCAACAATCAGTGCTGGCGATCTTTCACACTCAGGCCTGGTTTGAGCCGTGCTGTTTTTGATGGGCTGGAAAGCTACATAGATCGATTCCGAAATGCGCAGCATGATAGAACGCTTCTTCAAAACAAAATGACCAATACCTTACAGATAATATCAGCACCTCAACTCAGCTATATTCTTATTTCTTGGGAACCACACTGGATGAACACTGAGCCAGGCATTCCACGCGTGCTCAATTGGTGCTTGAAATGAATGACCATCTTACTGGCCGCAAATGCAATCCAGAGGATGTCCCTAACACAAACATCCATCCATCTGACCTGCAAAGATTGTGGATTGCATCAGAAAATATCAGAGGCAAAGGGCAACAACATACACCTTCGAGTCACAGCAAGTGAACTTCGAACCTGAGCAAACTCCTTGGTTCTTGTGTCGTCTCGCAAACATACAAACCTCTTTTTTTGTCCGGGGTCGGCGGCAGGGGCGGCAGCCCTTAAATAAATTAATAGTTAAAAATGGGTGTGAAATAGTTTTAGGATTTTTTTTTCAGCAGGTTTGGGATTTTTTTTTGGATTTCTTGGCTGGTACCATTTGCCTAGTGTTTGCAACGGTTTGGAACTTGAATTTGTCATTTTGCATGGTATTTGCCACATTTGGGCATGTTCACCTTCCATTTTGCATGGGATTTACTACATGTGGGCATGTTCACCTTCCATTTTGTATGGTATTTGCCACATTTTGGCATGTTCACCTTCCATTTTGCATGGGATTTCCTACATGTGGGCATGTTCACCTTCCATTTTGTATGGTATTTGCCACATTTTGGCATGTTCACCTTCCATTTTGCATGGGATGTTCTACATGTGAGCATGTTCACACAAATATGTACAGATGCGGAAGCTTGGGATTAGATAAAAAGCGGGTGGGGGGATTGAGGGAGGGCGCTAGCTATCTATCCAGCTAGCTAGCTATCTAGCTATCCAGCTAGCTATCTATCTAGCAAGCTAGCTATCTATCTAGCAAGCTATCTATCTATCTAGCTATCTATCTACCTATCTAGCTATCTAGCTAACTATCTATCTAGCTATCTAGCTTTCTAGCTTTCTATCTATCTAGCTATCTATCTATCTAGCCATCCAGCTGCCTATCCACCTATCTAGCTATCGAGCTATCTAGCTAACTATCTATCTAGCTATCTAGCTATCTAGCTTTCTATCTATCTAGCTATCTATCTATCTATCTATCTATCTATCTATCTATCTAGCCATCCAGCTGTCTATCCAGCTATCTAACTATCGAGCTATCTATCTAGCTATCTATCTATCTAGCTAACTATCTACCTATCTATTTAGCTATCTATCTATCCTTCTATCTATCTATCTATCTATCTATCTAGCTATCTATCTAGCTACCTCTTTATCTATCTAGCTAGCTATCTATCTATCTAGCTATCTATCTAGGCATCTATCTATCTAGCTATCTATCTAGCCATCTATCTATCGAGGTATCTAGCTAGCCATCTATCTCTCTAGCTATCTATCTATCTAGCTGGCTATCTATCTATCTAGCTATCTATCTACCAAGCTATCTATCTATCCAGCTATCTATCTATCTATCTATCACATGTAATCCTGTCAGCTTTCCAGAGAAGGTTAGTTCGCAAAAACCAACTAATGTAACTTGGGTTTAAGTTTAAATTAAAAAAAGCGGGAGGGGGGGATTGGGGGGAGGGCGCAGCGCCTCCCCCCAAAGCAGAATGCAAGCACCTCTTCTCACATGTTACGTTGCTAGTTTTCAAGAGAAGGTTGGTCATGTGATACTCAGGGATGTAAATACTGTGCAAAATGCATCTTACATGAAAATCAAGTATTTAAAGCAGGCAAAGCAAAAAAAGAGCAGAGAAGCAAAAAAGCAGAGAAGCAAAGAAACAGGAAACGCACAAAAGCAAAACAGCAGAAAGGCAAAGAAAAGCAGGAAAAGCAGGAAAAGCAGGAAAAGCAGAGAAGCAAAGAAACAGGAAAAACAGAAAAGCAAAAAAGCAGAAAAGCAGAGAAGCAGAGAAGCAGGAGAAGCAGAAAAGCAAAAAAGCAGAAAAGGCGAGAAGCAGGAGAAGCAGAAAAGCAAAAACGCAGAAAAGCAGAGAAGCAGGAAAAGCAGGAAAAGCAGGAAAAGCAGGAAAAGCAGGAAAAGCAGGAAAAGCAGAGAAGCAGGAAAAGCAGGAAAAGCAGGAAAGCAGAGAAGCAGGAATCCAAAAATAATTCCTAAACCTGATCAAAAAAAAAAATCCTAAAATAATTAGCCCTCCGTTAATTATTACCCATGACGGATCCATGTATGTATGGTATTTGTTTGCTAACATGACTGGGGTATATTGATGGGATCCATGTTACCAATTGTTACCATATATAGCAGCACCATGGATCCGTCATGGCTTATGGATCATTCCCTCAAATTCCCGTGTTTAACGGCACCAAATTATTGATCGGCTCGGCCCAGTTTTCGCGTCGACTTCTCCGGCGATCCCCGAGATTTTTCTCGCCTAGCTCCAAGGTCTTCAATCGACCAGCTGAAGATGCTTACAATGAGAATGTTGCACAACACACCTGCGCTGGCCCATGATTGCCCATGATTGGCCCATGATTGGCCCATGATTGGCCATGATATGCCATGATGGCACTGTATAAACTGTGTAGTTTCGAAGAAACTCCGGCACTATCCGCCACTGTGTTGCGCAGCCAAAAGATTACTCAAACCAGGCTGCTCGATCTGAAAAGTCATTGGAGATGCTCATTCTCAGGAGGAATCATTGAAATCATTGTGCTATGAATTTGGCCTGCCCTCGATTCCCGTTTACACATACTTCGCTTTCGCCATGTTTCCCCGGCGTCGCCATTGATATTTGCAAAAAATGCAAAAAAAAGATCCAAAGTGCGCTTTGTAAATGGATCAAACACATACAAAATATGATACAAAATCAATAAAAAATTGCTACTTTCAATTGCAAAAGAAGCTATGGTTGGGGCACCGTCTCATCCCAGTACCCTGGATATCCCTGGATATCCCTGGATTGCGCCTAAGGCCACCTTCACCCCGATGTCTTCCATCTGTTTCACACGGTCCGAGTGCATGTAGCTATTCTTCATCAACTCGGTCCTGCGAAGCGCAGAGCTGCAAGAGCTGCCAGAGCTGCCAGAATGACCAGTTTATCCTCTGGTAATGACGAACAGTTGGCTATTGAAAATGGATATTTATAGTGGATTTATATCCCCATTGATAGCATGGTTGGGATTTTCCATATAGTTTTTTTGTAAACGTTTACCAGGCCGGGTACCCCATGTTTAAAGCCCAGCTGCTATGAATGTCGGCCCCAGGTCAAGCTATCCAGTCCTGCAAATGCTCGCAAGCTGCTTGTCCACCCACTCTTCGGCCAGAATCTGTGCGGGTGGACTTCACCAGGCGCTGTCGCTGTCACCCGCTGATCATCCAAACTTCTCTTCAGGCACTACGATTCCCTGCACCACTCCCTTCATGTTTCATCATTTTTCTATTACCCATATGCTCCATGTATGGTATATTACCTACATAACTGGGTGATTTTGGACAAGGGCAAATGTTGGTATATAAATATTCCAGCACCATGCTTCACATTAATGGATCTGGGTTATGATCTGTTATGATCTCCTTTCCCGAGCCAAAACAGAACTGCCTAACCCAGCCTGTTCCCGAAACTCTTCAAAGGTCACTCCACGAGCCTCCTAAGTTCGTGAATGCAGTGGCAGTACCCGGGTGCTCAGCTCAAGATCCGATAAAAAGAAATCGCAACATCCATAGTGAAGACTCCAAAACAAGCTATCCATAGGATACTGTTCAGCATACCCATATGCTCCATGTATAGTATATTTACCTACATAACTGGGTGATTTATGGGGTAAATGTTGGTAAATATTCCATACATGGAGCATATGGGATATAAAAATCAGCTATTCTAGTCATCCATAGTCATCTAATCCACTCATCCACAATCCACTGTCCAATCCGCAACGCAAGGTATCACACCGACAGCTTCACATCCAGGCTCGCTCATCCATGATGCCACTGAGGACTTTGTACTCTTATGCGACGAATCTCGATCCTTAGCACCAAATAGATCGAGTTGTAGCTCCAAGTTCAATGCAGACAAGAAGGGGCTGGATTCACTCGATCTCGACGGAAGGTGATTGCGATGAGATCGGTTATGATCGGTTCCAGGGACCGGCTTTACGATGCTGACTTTTTCAGATACTGTAGGAACTGGACATGCCAACTTCTTTGCAGCGACCGGCTTGGGATAAGCGTGGGATACCCATGGCAGATTTTGGTGAAGTTTCTTCGTCCGTGTTGCATCCTTTGTAGAGCAAATCCGTGTCTGAAAAGTAGAGTTGAAGCATCTGTCTTTGAGAAGGCCCCAGGGCGGTTCAACAAGTCTACACAGTTCTACAAACTCCAACACTGTCAAGATATGTCAAGATATGTCAAGATATGTCAAGATATGTCAAGATCAGAGATCAAACAAATCAAACTAAATCAAACAAATCAAACAAATCAAACAGGTCAAACACCAAGATTCGTGGAGAGGTAGGCTCTCCTCGCGCCTGATGCTGCTTGCACTGCTGTCACTTCTTGCAATCTCGTCCTGTGCTGAGGCATCACATTCAACTTTCCCTGTAAAAGTGGTGTTGAAATCTGCAGCTACCCAGTTGAAATATGTTGAAATACCAATTTTAAGTGCTAAAGTTGCTAAAGCTTAAGTATAAAGCTTAAATGACGTGTATTGTGATGTCCATGAACATCTTGCCGAAGTCGTTGCTTACTCCGTCCGCTGTGGCGGTCAATTTTTACTTCAAGCATCTTCAAGCTGCATGTTCCCCTTTCTAGCGCTTCCAAATGAGGATACTTCTGTGTTTTACACAGATCTGTATGTCTGCATCATTCTGAATGGTACAGCTGTTCTATCCATATATTATACTCATATATATGCATTGTAGTTACAACAGTAATATTGATGATAATGATACTACAGCACACACACACACACATTTTCATGTTGAATTGAGCATGCCCCACAATGCTTGACAATGCATGTTAGTGCTGGGTGCTCCTCAGCTTCATAATAGCACCACTTAAACAGGCTTGAAACAGAATTGCTAGGATCAGAATTTCTTTGTCAGGATTTTTTCTGCGCCATATATTAAAAAAGATCGCGAGAATCAATGCTCCACACTTCTGAAACTGAAATCCCAAATATGGCTATATGGCTATATACATTTTGCTTGATGTACTGGGATGTAAATCCCCCAGAGGTAGGGGTTTTCCAGAAGCATTGGAGCTTTTTGCCTCCCATGTCCGTCAACTCAGCCCACAAGAACTGCTCCTCGCTTAGGCCGAATTCGCTGTCCTCCAGTATCCAGTGGCTCTCAAGGACTGTCATTCCAAATCATTGTTTGATTGAATTCCCATGGGGAACCCCCCCATTTTTATCCATGTTTCCCATGATTTTTTTGTGACTCATCTGACCCACAACAGGTGGACACTCAGTAACACATCAGGTGACACTTCCCGCTATGCGCCTCCGTTTTCATCTTTTTTAAGTCCTTGACCTCCTTCTTGACCTCGTTCTCCTCCTGACCCAAACTGATCCAGAGTTAACCGAGCTAACCTGCACCAAACAGAACCTGACCGACCTGACGCTCGGCAGATGGAACCGGAACGCCAATGGAAAACTCTGAGGCCGTTGGCGATACGTCCGCCTCAGTGGCCTGCCAATGCCAACAGGTCTGGGATTTCAATAGAAAAGGTGGATTGTCTCATCAAAAATGGTGATTTTCCATAGTTTTTTGATGTTTTTTGTATGTTTACCAGAGGGTAGTATCCGTTTGACATCCGAAATATTGGGATCATCGCAAGGTGCAGAAATCCGCCCCATTTTATATATTTTATCAGACACAAAAATGGGCGGTGATTCCTGGAAGACTTTCCGTTTTGTCATACCCCCAGTTCTCAAAAAGATGAGGATTCAGGGGTTGGTAACTGTCCCATTTTGGGAATATTGGACATCACCTTATAGTAGCCATCTAGTAGACCATATACCATTCATGGTTGGGTGATGTGAAAAATGGGGACATCAGTCATGACCCATGGATTGTCCCATCTTTTTCACCCATCCAGCGACAAAGGGTGACCTCAAAGCGAATCTGTTTGCCGTTGAAGGAGACCTCGGAACCCTGTGGGACGCTGGGACGCTGAAGCGACGCATAAAAAAGCTTGCGCCCCCACCACTGCCCTGATGTCATTTGGGGGTTTCCAATGGTTTCCATAGTCAAGTTACCCCCAATAGCTGGATGGTTTATTTCATGGAAAATCCAACAAAAATCCCATATGCGAACCATGGTGCTGGAATATTTACCAACATTTGCACCAACAAAATCACCCAGTTTTGTAGGTAAATATACCAGCACCATGGAGCATATGGGAATGGATCAGGCCTGTCTTGACTTTGGCCCAGTCCGACTCTGATTCTCCTGCAAGTCATGGTGGGTTGGTTGAAAAAATTTGGGAATCGAATCAACGGTACATACCCGACCTGGTAAGCATACAAAAAGCTACGGAAAATCCACCCATTTTTAATGGGTGAACCCACTATTTCATCTATTTCTATGGCCATGTTCAATAGCTTTGTGTATGTTTACCAGAGGGTAAATCAAAGGGTTGATCCGAAGTCTGATTTTCTATTGGCCTCACCAGGTGGCGAGTTTTCGCAATGGCCCTCCAAAAGGCAGAGTAACTTTGATGGTTCTTTTATTGCAGTCACAAAAAGGTTCGATAAGAATCCAATATTGGCAAACGCTCAAAAATGCCTGGGGCTTTTTCAAACCTTCAAGGAGAAGGGTCATGCAACAGCAATCGATGAGGAGAACACGGACAAGGATGTGCTGGTTCAAGACCAAACATCTGGAATCGCCCCAGAGACTCAAGGAATGTTCCACTTAGTGACTTTGCTGGTTGATGACCAATTTTTCCAGCATCTTTACTGGTTGGTGGTATACCTACACCTCCGAAAAATATGAAAGTCAGTTGGGATTATGACATTCCCAACATATGGAAAGTCACAAAATTCCATGGTTCCAGTCACCACCAAGCAGTTTAAGTTGGAATTCTGTGGGGATGAAAGCTGATGGCTGCTGTCACTCTTCCCTTCCTGTCCCTACGGAGAGCCGATGTTCAAATCGCTCCTGCTCTTGGTCCTGGTCCTGGTCCTGTTGGTCCTGCAGTTCTGGCGAGTTGCTCCTGGCCAAAATTCCATGGAAAAATGGCTAAAGTATCCCCTTCCCTCTGTGCATTGTGCATGAAAGCATCACAAGATAAAGCAGGCTCGGAAAAACATACCGCGAAAGATGCTTTGATACGTTGGAGCACAGTGTCCACAGTGACTTGGAAGAACTGCTGGGTACGATCAGAAGGCCAAAAAAACACCCACTGCAGCTGTCAAAGCTGTGAAAGTTGAATCCATAATGTCGAGCTGGGTGGGACTACTACTCAGAAGACTTCAGGAACTTCTCAGTTTCAAACGCCCTGTTCAGGATGGAATTCTATGGAATTCTATGGATTTCTGATGCCATGCTAGCCACAAGGCACACTGGTAACCAGCCTCATTGAAGTCTTGTTGGAAAAAAAGGAGAGATTCGTGATCTTCCTGCGCGAGTTCGAAGATTTCCTGGCCATGGATCCCGGGACGGCCAGGGATGGCCGATGGCCAGGATGAGTCGCGGAGCCAGCCTGGTAGCTGTGTCAAATCTCGCAAGCACAGCGCTTAGCGCTTGGGTGGAGATCTTGCCATCATAGTCCTAGGGGCCGAACGCCACGAACGCCACAGCAGAGATAGCTGGCGCAAGCTAGGCCATGAAGAAAATTTCAGGACCCAGAATTCGTGTTCTCTCTGAACTGCCTACAAACATCGACACAGCCTCACGAAACCCCCATTGGGTTCCGAATTCTCACCTGTTCAAATCTTTTCCACAATTTTGCCGTCCCTTTCCCTCAATGTTTCCAAATTCTTGGCTTCTGTCCTCCCTTCCCTTCCCCACACCTTTGACCCTTGCCCAAAAAAAAAACAGTTCTTACCTTCTTACTCGATCATCAATCCCTTTCCAACAAACATGTTGAAATTCTCTTCGCTGTTCTTTCTTCATATTGTTGTATGAATTCATTGCACTTGCCTTGAGTTCTTGCCTTCTCCTCTCTTTTTCAAGTCTCTGTTGCCCTTTTTCGTGGAAAATTGATGAAAATTGCATGAGCTTTTGGTGGTTAGAGGTGAATCCTTTCAAAGCTAAGCCATTTTTCATGGCGGAAAAGCATTTCGTGGCTTTCGTGGCGTTTCTGCATTGACGTGTCTTGTTTTGTTGATATATGTTGATATATGTTGCCACCCATTCGCCACCCATTCGCCTGGTCAAGAAATGCGAAGACGCGATGCAACTTCTTGTCTAACAAAGTCCGGGAGTCAGCATCCAACTGCCTCGGGTCAACGGGTCAACGTCAGCAGTGTGAGATTCAGTCAACTCGTTTTTTTGTTCCAGAAGAAAACACTGACCCATCTGAAAAAGAACATAAAAAATACCATAAAGATACCATAAATTGCATAAATCAAATCTTTAAATCTCCACCAAACTTCACAGAGATCGCGAATTCCTCACCCAACATCGTCCTTTTTCGGCCTCATTCGTACCCTCTTTAAAAAGGTCAGGACCGAGCTGCCGATTCCCTCGCTGGAGCAAGCCAGTGATGCGCGGTAACAATGCGGCAATCCGCATGAGACGCGTCAGACGCTGCAGCCGCGAGACACGCGAGGAACGCGCTGCCAACATCCTTGGATGATGGATGGAAAAAACTGTTCCTGATGGTGACATGGTATACCCTCTGGTAAACTAACATAACTATGGAAAATCACCACTTATAGTGAGTTTTCCCATTAAAAAATAGTGATTTTCCATAGTTATGTTAGTTTACCAGAGGGTATCTGAAAATGATATCCAAATGGCCAGGAAAATGGTGGGAAAATGGTGTGAAACGATAGTAAGAACATCGAATTTTTGGGTAACCCACCATTTTCAGAAAGAGCCATGTGAGTTCGGTTGAAAAAGAGGCTTCAATCGCCAAATATACGTAGTATGGGGATCTTATGTATCAAAATGGCTATTGGTCAAAACCCTGGCACCTAGTGAACCCCAAAATAGTTGGTAAATGGATGTTCATCCCATTAGAATTGATAATAATAGGTTTTGACCCACACCCAAATGGCAATAGACCCGAGATTTTCTTGATCGATTCCTCTAGTTGCTTGGCAGCGATTCCCAATGCTGTGGTGACATAAAGCCTCACAAGCGCGCCCATTTTTCACGACTCACTTGCGCCCAGATTGACCTAAACATACCTCTATGTGGAAAACAACCATTCAGGGTCTACTTTTAGGGGACATAGGTGGGAGGGAATTGGGGAACACGGGGGGATTAGGGAGGGGCAACAGGGCAACAGGGGGGACTACCCGGGCACTTGTGCGAGACAAATCCACGGGCACAAGCGGCTTGGCCGTTTCCTGACATATGGTGACTTCAGGTGGATGGTCCGTGCTTCACTGTCAACCAACAAGGTTATTCCCATAGGATCCATGTATGGTATATATGCTAACATTTGGGGTATAGGTAAATGTTACCATATATAGCATACATGGATCCTATGGGATTGGGTAACTTAGACTGCATATATCTTATCTCACTTCTAATCCTGGAGCGTATAAAAACGGACTCTCGTGTAGATGAGCTCAGGTGGAATCAGGTGCTGCAAGCCTCACAGCAGTTGACCCATTTTTTCAACTGGATCATCGAGGATTCTCAGAGGACTCGTCTGGCCCAGGCCCCATTGGTGGTCGCACAACACAACTCGTGTTTTGAAAAAATGGTGTACCCTCTGGTAAACTAACATAACTATGGAAAATCACCATTTTAATGGGAAAACTCACTATAAATGGCCATTTTCCATAGCTATGTTAAATTACCAGAGGGTAAAATTTGCGCGCAGAGTGTGTTGATGGCACAGTCACCATCATTCACCCCAAGAATTTTCCAGATTCTTTGGATGCTCCACATTTTGTTTCATCGGGAAAAACAAAAATCGTCCGTACAGATTGGGGCCAGTGATGTTTGTTGCTTTATAAACCATAACAAAACCACCATTATATAGTTATTAAACCATAGTTAAGCCACTTATAAGGCAACTGAACGCGAACTCGACTGGGGGCCCCCATCCTGTACTATCAAAGACATTCGAACGTTCCGTGCCATGCGATGTGCCAAGGTACAAGAAACGGGTAAAGCTTTCATCGTTACTGGCGATGAAGTTGGAACTCAAGATCTGCTTCCAGAACCATGTCTCTGGCAACAGCGACAGCGAGGCCGCCAGGTCCAACCAAAAGGAGAAACGGCAGATGTACTGCGGCTTCGCCAGACTGTTCAGTACCAGCTCCAGGAGAAAGAAAGTCAACGTGAGCGTCATGGACACACTGATCCTCAGTGCCCAGGGCATTGGGGACACACAACTCGGGAGTCTGGGCCATGGGTTTGCGGTTTCAAGAGTTCCGAATTCAAATCCAAGAGTTTCCAGGTGGAACCCACGGAAGGGTTTCCCTAAAGGTATGAAATCTAAGTTCCATGTCAGGATTCTGGACGGTTTCGAAACTTTCCAACAGGTTCGAATTCCCTGGATAGGTTAAAAATAACATGTTGGAATGTTTGGAAAAGTTCTAAGCCAAAGCTGGTAGACAGTCACTAATACTTTTGGTGTTTTGAGGATGTTTGAAGCAGATTCTTAAAGGTGTTGGAGTTGGAACTTTCGTTTCAGTTGCATGGCTGCTGTTTGGACGTTGCTGGGTTTCAATTAAAAGAACATGTGATGAAATTCAAATGGTTTCGGGCAAAACAACAACAACAACAACAGCAGCACCAAATGGGTTCAGTCGCACGTTGGTTTCCCAGATTTCTGCAGCGGTGACTTTCACCGAGGGACACGACTTCAGATTGTTTGTGGCCAAAAATGACATCTAGATCTGGAGCATAGAAACTATACCTCGGGCAGACTGCGCACAGGGCCATGCCCCCAATGGTTGGCAACCTGGTCATGATATATATAATTATATATAATTATATATTATATTATATTATATATTATGTTATGTTATGTTATATTATATTATGTTATGTTACATCATATCATATCATATTATATTATATTATACTATATTATATTATAGCATAATATATTATATTATATTATTATATTTTACTTTAATATCATATATCAAAATTTGTTATATTATATAATATCATGTTATGTTATGTCGGTGCGGCCCTTAGGTTCTCCCAAACCCACATGCCTTGAATGAAATCCTTCATCATGAAATGTGTATTTGTATGGGTTTCCCAATGTTTTTGTGTTGTCTCTAAAGCAATCATCCTGAGCAACATGTCTTCTGTTGCGCGGACATTTTTCAAAAAATGTCCATTTCAGAAAACAGAGAATGTAACATCATCTTTGTTTTTGGAGCTTACCACAAGGCCAAAACTGTGGAAGGGTTGTCGATTTTTTCGATTGTAATCTTACCACCAAGTTTACGATGCTTCCAAAGCACTGTGGGCACCATGCAAAATGAACATGCTTTCAAAATCTATTGTAGATACAAAGCAAATTTGTGGTTTTCACACAGGCACCTCTGATGATAGTCAGCCTTTTTTCTTCTTCTAGCATCTTGACATGTTCCAGAGTGGTTTTTGCAAACACTGCGTTGTAAAGCGTGCAAGAGAACTTTCACAGCGTAGCATCAAGAGCGTCGTAGAGCGTATACAAGAATTTCTACAGCGTAGCATCAAGAGCGTGTTAACGAGTAACCAAAAAAATGGCCAAGAAACGCAGGCGACAAAATGTTATTACCCCCACCACCCCACCCAAAAAAAAACCCACACCCTCCCACCCAAAACACACACCGCGAAACAACACCAACAGTCGGAAGCATAGCCGTGATGTCAATGCGACCTGGTCAACGCGATCAGCACTCGGAGAACCCCAGCGCTGGCGGGTGTTACGTTATGTTATGTTATTTTATGTTATATTATATTATGTTATGCTATGTTATGTTATATCATGTTATATTTTAATTATTATATTATAGTTATACCTGGGTTTAATTTGTATATATATATATGATGCAGCCCTCCCAGGTCCCCCCCCCTCCCCCCAATGGGTATGGGTATACAGGAGCTATGTTCCCCACCCCCCTGTGGGTGGGTGGGGTGGTGGTAGTAGTAGTAGTAGTAGTAGTAGTAGCTAGTCGTAGTGAATAGTAGTGAATAGTAGTGAATAGTAGTGAATAGTAGTGAATAGTAGTGAATAGTAGTGAATAGTAGTGAATAGTAGTGAATAGTAGTGAATAGTAGTGAATAGTAGTGAATAGTAGTGAATAGTAGTGAATAGTAGTGAATAGTAGTTAGTAGTAGTTAGTAGTAGTTAGTAGTAGTTAGTAGTAGTTAGTAGTAGTTAGTAGTCGTTAGTAGTAGTTAGTAGTGGTTAGTAGTAGGAATGGGTATGGATATACAGGAGCTCGTTCCCCGCCCCCCCTGTGGGTGGTGGGTAGGGGGGTGGGGGCATGTAGTAGTGAGTAGTAGTTAGTAGTAGGAATGGGTATGGATATGCAGGAGCTATGTTCCCCGCCCCCCCCTGTGGGTGGGTAGGGGGGTGGAGGGGGTTAGTAGTAGTTAGTAGTAGTTAGTAGTGAGTAGTAGGAATCGGTATGGATATACAGGAGCTATGTTTCCCGCCCCCCCCTGTGGGTTGGTAGGGGGGTGAGGGGGGTTAGTAGTAGTTAGTAGTAGTTAGTAGTAGGAATGGGTATGGAGAGACAGGAGCTATGTTCCCCGCCCCCTGTGGTGTGGTGGGGGTGTGGTACTGCGTATATATATATATATATGCTTATGTATATATATATATGTATGTATGTGTACATATATACATATATATGTGAATATATGTATATATGTGCGTATTTATATTTATATATATATACGTATATATATATATATATGTATATTCAAATACGTCTATATATAACATGTATGTACATATAAATATATATATATATAGATAGGAAGTAGATACATAGCACATGTATATATGACTATAGGTAGCACGTAGGTACTTTGAGGGAGTATGTGTGCTACGTAGGTCGTCTAAAAGGTAGCATGTACCTAGTAAATGCGAGGCTGGTAGTCAGAATGGCTGCAAAAACCTAGCAAATACGAGGCTGGACCTCAGAAATGCTGCCAATAGCTCGCAAATAGAAGGGAAGGGGGGGTGCTACCTGGGGACCCATCCCATTGGGGGGGACCTCGCGGTCGGAAGGTGGGATATATATATATAATATATATATATATTATATAGAATGGTTTGGGGATAGTTTGGGACAAGCTGGATGATTGAAGTTTTTGACCGAGATCTTCAAGGCGTCAGCATCACGTTACCAGCATCGATATATCAAAGATATCAACTCATCCACGAGTCGATAGCGAAACAAAATATCAATCATAGCGTGCGAAAGAAATTGAAAGAATGCTTGCCCCGCACTGAGTCACAAAAAAAAGAGCCTCACTTGAGGGACGAAGGTATACAAAGGTACTGTCCTGATGTATCCTGGATTATCCTGGTAGTGGGCACGTTTCACAAGTCCTTCAGAATACTTGGCGCCTTGAAGGCGGTTGAGAACATCCACCACCGACTCACCGACTCGCTCACAAGAAAAAAACACCGAAGTTTTTCATCCACATCGACGAAGGCGGCACCGCTTGTCTAACCAAATTGGCTAATCAAGTTGCATGGTGAGGAATAAGAAGAATCCAGTGAAGCGCCCAGAAGAAATCAGTTGCAGAAGCTGTGCTTTCCAGCTCGAGCTCTTCGTGGCCGCAAATTCCTGGCCACGCGACGTCAGCTGTGAAGTGAATCCGTGGGGTGAAATAAAGTCTGTATTTTGAGGTTTTCTGAAAACAGGGTACCCCTACAGCCAGTGGTTAATAATCATGTTTCCTACTGAAATTCCATTCCTTGGGGTATACTGTGCCCCATTTTCAGACACACCCATGTATCCGCCGACCCCGCCGACGGCAAGGGGGAGCGCGTCAGAGAAGACATTACAATCAGCCAGGGGCAAGACATGATGAGAGCAACCTGCAAGAGCCAGAGAGAGGGAAGCAGACAAAAGAAGAAAGCAAGGAGCAAGAGCAAGCGAGCAAGGTGGAAGCAAAAGAGATAAGGAAGACGAAAGCAAGCAGGACAAGAAGCAAGAACAATCAGCAACGGGCGGAAAGCCGGAGCAAGAGGCCAAGGGAGGGGCAAAAAGCAACGAGCAACAAGCCCGAGTAGAAGCCTGGAACTAGTGTCTAGTGGATTCAGAAAGCGACGTTAGGCACGGCCAGCTGCAAGGCGCAGGCGCCATCCGTCCTTCACTGGCATACTGTTTCAGTGTAGCGAAGGGGTCCATCTTGGGGCTATGTTGGCCCATCTTGGGGCTATGTAGGCCCATCTTGGGGCTATCCTGGCCCATCTTGGGGGCTATGTTGGCCCCAAGATGGGCCCACCTTGCCCTCAAGATAGGCCAACATAGCCCCAAGATAGGCCGCCGACCATCAACATATTCTGCGTTTTACAGTGTTTTTTGCTGTTCCCATTTTTCGATTCTTGCAGCTCACGATGGGCCAACATAGGCCTCAAGATCTTGCTCCCAGCTAGACCCATATCACCTCAACATGGGCCCTGGCCGGCTGTAGCGCTTAAATCCGGCCAGGGGGCCGCCGGGCCCGGAGCTGGCCGTGGCATTGCCGTACGGCAGTTCTCTCCGCAGGAGAGAGGGGCTGCACCCCCTGCCGCCGACCTACCGCCGACCCCAAAAACTACCGCGTTTTTACGGTGTTTTTTGCTGCTCCATTTTTCCCATTTTTCGGATCTTGTGGCTCAAGATGGGTCAACATGGGCCAACATAGGCCTCAAGATGCAAACATAGCCTCAAGATGGACCAACATAGCCTCAAGATGGGCCAACATAGCCCCAAGATGGGCCAACATAGCTCCAAGATGGGCCAACTTATCCCCAAGATGGGCCAACATAGCCCCAAGATGGGCCCACATTGCCCTCAAGATAGGCCCAACATAGCCCCAAGATGGGCCAACATAGCCCCAAGATAGGCCGCCGACCATCAAACTATCCTGCGTTTTACAATGTTTTACAGTGTTTTTTTGCTGTTCCCATTTTTCGGCTCTTTCGGCTCAACATGGGTCAACATGAGGCCAACATAGGCCAACATAGCCACAAGATGGGCCAACATAGTTGGGCCCCTGCCCGGCTGTCGCGTGTAAGCGCTTAAATCCGGCCAGGGGCCCCAAGCCCCCGTGGCCGTGGCATTGCCGTACGGAGAAGGGCTTCGAGCCCTACCGCCAACCCTCCCCCATCGGTACAAACACCCCGCAATTTACGGTGTTTTGTGGCTTTCCCATTTTTTGATCTTGTGGATCAAGATGGGTCAACATGGCCCAAGATAGGCCCCAAAATGGGCGCAAGCTGGCCCAACATAGCCCCCAGATGGCCCAACATGGCCCGCAAGCTGGGCCCACATAGCCCCAAGATGGGCCTACACGGCCCAAGATGGGCCTACATAGCGCGAAGACGGGCCAACATAGCCGCAAGCTGGGCCAACCTCGCCCCAAGATGCGCCTACTACACACCTTGCGGATGGGCCACATCAACAACAACTGCCGCCGACCCTACAAACACCCGCAATTTACGGTGTTTTTTTGGCTTTCCCATTTTTTCGATCTTCCCAATTCTTCTTTATAATCTATTTATGATCCTTTACGCTCAAGTGGGCCCCTGGCCGGCTGTCGGGCGTAAGCCCTAAATAAACTTAAACAACGGCAAGCAAACCAACAAAGTCTGGTTGCTGGACACGTGACCGATGCGTACTAAGTTGTATTATGCTCAAAACCCTCATGTCACTTGTGTTGGTTGCCGCTGGCAGGTTCTACCATTGCACAGCCTTTCAGAGTCCCCAGTGGGCTTGTTCCATAGCCATGTTGTGCCTCTGCAAAGGAGTCAGATCGTCTACGACCGGAGGGTGACGGCTCCTGATTTTGGCAGAATGGCAGACGTTTCGATTTCGTGAACCTGAAGGCCTTGGTTGCCCTTGCTGGAGTGCCACTTACACAAGAGGTTACACCATGTTACAGAAACCTTTCGAGATGCAGTTTCCTGGCTCACTACAGTGTAGTCACTACAGCGAATCCACAATCCAGTGCATATTTGTATGATTTTGTATGTGTCTGTATATATGTCGATATCTGCCTGTATCTGTTTTTGTCTGTCTGCATCTGCCTGCATCTGTGTTTATCGTCTGTATCTATCCATATCTATCTATAATATCTGTCTGTGTCGGTATGTTCATTTCTGTCTGTCTGTGTCTGTCTGTCTCTCGGTCTCTCTGTCTGCCTCTGTTGCACAGTCTCGGTCTGTGTCTGCCTGCCTGTCTGTCGGTCTTTCTTAGCCGCCAATCCATCCATCTGCCTGTCTGCCTCTTCTGTCTCTTAAGTGGTCTGCCCGTCCGCACGTCCATCCATTCAGATGTCTATCTATTATATATGTATATACTATATATATATATATTATACATGATCCATCTATCTTTGTGTGTATCTATCCATGTGTATCTCTAAGTATCTGCGTGCATCTACGTGCCTCGGCATGATCTCTGTGTATTTCTGTATCTATATACCTGCATACTATATGCGCGTGTACGTAAGAGCCCATGCGGCACCCTCTCGTTCTTTTGGGGGAGAAGTTTTGTTGAAAGAAACTCGTGATCAATTTTCGCAAAAAAAAATGTAAATTTCGAGGCATAGAAAGTTTATGCTAGTTTCATCTGCCATCTGGATATTTAACATAGACATGGAAAATCATCATTTTTAAGTTCGGTAAACCATCTATTTCTATGGGCCATCGACAAACCATGGCGAACTGTTAGTCATAACCAGGCCGGGTACATTGCTTCGCTGGACAATCGCATCGCCGGAGTCAAGTTGCCATGACGACTCGAGATTACTGCTCTCCTTCATGGCATCGGGTGGAGACTCGGACGCTCCTTCTTTCCCAGCTTCAGCTTCCCTGCCACGCGCAGCACACGCAGCACGTTTCGAGGCAGCAATTTTTTATCTACTGCTAGCTGTTTCTCGAGGTTTAGCATTCTAAAGTTTGGAAAGCTGGAAAAAAAAATCTGAAGAGAGACACTTGAAAAAACGGGGGTAAAAGACGGCAACCCAAAGATTCGAACCAGCAACCAGCAACTCTGAACTGAAGCTGTTCTGGCTGAGAAGTGTGCCAGTAACATCGTTTTTGTTGAGCACCTCGCCTGGAAACATCTCCGAACTGGTGTCTGAGGATGGTGTCCAAGCCTTTGATCATGTTAGGACCTGTGGCGAAAAAAATGTGGTTTTTCCGCATGTTGGAGCTATCAGACACTTTTTTGCTCAGCTAAGAAATACCCTCTGGTGAACTAACATAGCTATGGAAAATCACCATTTTTAATGGGAAAATCCACTATAAATCACCATGTTCAATAGCTATGTTAAATTTCCAGAGGGTAGCCACGCTTAGCTAACTGGTTACTGGTAACATCGCCAAGCCTGACTCTCGACTGGGCTTTGCGTCGAACCTTAGTGGTTTTCGACAAAACGGCGTGCGGTTGTGGATGTTCTCTAGAGCACGCCCTGAGTTGAGTATGATTTATTGATATTTATAGTGTTTTATAGTGTTTTATAGTGTTTTATAGTGTTTTATAGTGTTTTATAGTGTTTTATAGTGTTTTATAGTGTTTTATAGTGTTTTTACCAACTTTGGAGAACTCTCTTTTTATACCTAAGTTGAGGTCTTTTTTAGGAGTCTTCTGAATGCAGCTTTGCCATCGGTGACTGCTGTCAGTGAGAAGGTGATCGAACGCCTCTCTGGGAAGCCCAAACAGGTCCCTCTGCGAACTCTGCGAACCTGGCTGCGACGTTGCTACTCGAGTGTAGACGTATATCCCCATGACGGATCCATGGTGCTGCTATATATGGTGTGCCATGGATCCCATCAATATACCCCAGTCATGTTAGCATATATATATATATACAAGCACCATGGATCCTATGGGATATGTTGACGTGCAGAAGCGTCTTCGTGTTCGGATTCGATTCTTGGCATTGATGGTTGCAGGGGTTATTTTCGTCAAGTTTCTGGTGATATCCCATATGCGAACCATGGTGCTGGAATATTTACCAACATTTGCCCTTGTCCAAAACCACCCAGTTATGTAGGTACAAGGTGGTGCCCTATAGTTAGCTAAGTTGGTTTATAACTTCAATAACTATGGTTTATGGTACTTATAACTATAGTTACTGGGGCTTATAAACCCACTTATAACTGGGGGGCCTCACATTGTAAATATACCAGCACCATGGAGCATATGGGTATTGACCCAAGAAAGAAACAGTGGAAATCCAGATGACAACTTGGTCCATCCCAATGCTTCAGTCAATTCAGTCATATCAGCCATGAAACATGTCCTTGTGAGATGCGGCGTGGTCCATGATTGTAATGAAAACCCATAAATCAATATAAATCAATATTAAAATATATTAAAATCATAGGTCTGACTCTTGGTGAATCTTGGTGATGTTTGAAGAAGTTTGAAGATATCATAAACTGAGATCTTCTGCATTGAGATGGATTCAATGGATTCATATTCTGAAGAAGGTCAGCACTGCGGCCGACATTTTCCAAGTCCTGCAATTCTTAATGGGTAAATCCACTATTAATGGTGATAGTAGTCCTTCCATTCCACAAAAAAAAACAATTCTTTTCTTCACGTAGATTTTTCATGCGTAGTTTGCTTTCTGGCTTTTGTCATTGCATCTCAATCTTTCATCCCTGCCATACCTCATCGGATTTAGCCCGCCTGACGATCTTCCAGTTGCCACTTTGATACCCTCTGGTAAACATACAAAAAACTATGGAAAATCATCATGCTTTTAATGGGGATTCATCCACTCCAAATGGGCATTTTTCCAGTTCGCAAACTGTTAGTTAGTCATTACCAGCGGCCTGTGGGTGGAGACTCGGCCCAATTCTGGCTACTCTGACTCCTGTGGGCCAAGGGTGGGCAGTGGGACACACCTTGCCCATGCCGTTGGTCCGCTTGGAAAACCATAGGCGCTCTGTTGGGGAACACCCCATGGAGAAACTGTTTGCTGCTTTTGCCTAGGTTTTTTGGTGTCGAAAGCTTGGGAATTCTGAATCCTGAGAGGTTTGCTGCTTGGAACAGGGTTTTGGATATAATAAACCAGCGGTATCCAGCAGTTCACGATCACCCTCACTACTTTCTGCCCACCCCTGCCAATACATTTATGATAATGTATCGAACCTAGGGGGGACAGTGTCTATTACTTTTAGGGGCTTACAGATCTTATGTGTCCAAGCTAGGGGGGCAGTGTGATTTTAGTCAATACCAAAATGTATGATAGGGACCCCGTCAGAAGACCAACTTTTTCTGTCTTCAAAATTCGCATGCACCGTGGTCTCTCGCTTATTTCCCCGATTCGGCTTGAACATCTTTTATTAATCTTCTGGGACTCGCGGGACATTGGATTTAATCTTCTGGTACAGTAGTTGATTTCGAAGTGATGACACTGACAGCTACAAATATACTATACGACCAGAGGGAGTCAATATACCGGCACACCCTGAATAATTACGAACAGGACCCCTGAAAATATATATATAAGCATAAGGGGGGTTTGCAGATAGTGGCAGTTCCCGGGGCTACATAGACCCTAAAATGTAAAAGCAATAGGGGGGAGATGGGAGGACATTATGAAGGTATGCCCCTCCATGCCCCTCCCTTGACCCAAAGAGTCATTCTGTATAAAATGAATTTCCCGGGGAACTCAGAAGCCGAGAGCGCGAAATGTATATCTTGAGATATCTTGAGATATCTTGAGATATCTTGAGGGGGTGTACACCCCAAATATACATGTTTTAGGGCTGGGAGATGGTTCACATGTCGGGTGATCATGGTGATCATGGCGGAACAACCAACGTCTCGTCTCATCGCCGGCTCCTAGGGCTGCTGGCGCCATTTTCAGGATCCGAGCTTTCACCTCGATTCGACGTCCTATGTCCGGCATCCAAAGGATCTCATAGCCACCTGGTAGCCAGCTATGATGCCTATGATATGAATTTAGAAATGTCAAGAGAGCTCTGATAATGAGCACTTAAACCAGGAAATGTGGACAACCCGCCCGAGACACGGGTGAAGGACATCGTGAAGTCTGTACACTGTACCAGTGTAGGAATGGAGGACACTAAACATGTTTGAACTCAATCCTGACCCTACATGCAAATCAAAATGCAACCACACATTGCCAAAGATGTCAACAAACTCAACAAATGTATTATAAATAGAATATATATGAATAGATATATATATGTACATATATGTATATATAGTTCAGTTCTTAATGTTATTATACTTAAATATCTTCACCCAAACACATGATGCTTACGGTAGTGGTAGCAGGTAGCACCCCGGTCAACATCTACCAAGGCCAAGGCCAATAGCTATCTCCAAGGGGGCTGGAGGCATGGCAGCTGATGGCAGCTGTGTCTCTTTCTGGGGGGGTTGAGTGGTTTCAGATTTAAAAAAAAAAAACACGTTTGAAAAATTTGATCAGGTATCATCTCTTATCATCTCTTGTCTGAATTTTAAGACTGTCTTAAGAATAGTAAAGAGATTTTTGCATGCTGTGGGGGCCAGCTTGGAATTTCCAAGTTCTTTCACTTGTCTTGTGCTAAGCACAGCTTCGAAAAATATGGGAGTGGCTGTGGCATGGCTTCAGAGTGGCTTTGTGGCAGCTTGATGGTTCGGTAGCCTGTGAAAAGGACAAGATGCCTGGAGAATTGTCTGTGGTAGACCCAATTAGAAACCCCAATAGAGGCTTATTTTTTCAGGTCCTATTTAAGGGATTATTTATATTTTTTTGTCCCCAAATGGTTGGCTCATGGGATGCTTTTGCTCCAGTTGATTTCTTTGTTTCTGAGGTTCTTTGCAATGCATTGTTCGTGAGCCCCCACGAAACTGAGCCACCAATGCCACAAGAAGAACGAGCACCCCCACCTTTTTCACACCGTTGACCCATCGGTCGCTGGTGCTACCCTTAGTCTAAACCCTTGAGGTTTTCGACATGAAAATTGCGCTAAATTTCTTTGGCTCTAGTGGAATGGACCTGTCGATGGAGTTTTTTTGAGTCTACGTATCATGTACCCTCTGGTTATGTCAACATAGCTCTTGAAAATTGCTATTTATAGTGGATTTTCCCATTAAAAATGGTGATTTTCCATAGTTATGTTAGTTTACCAGAGGGTATCATGGCTCCCATGTCCTGTCGATGGTCACCATTGAAAAAGCGGAACTAAAAATCGAAACATGAGCCCCTTCGCCTTCAGCGGATCCTCAGGAGGCCTTGGCTGGTGGACCTAGTTTCCAGTCAAAATGAATCATCGAAATAGAAGGAATACCCTGTGGATATTTTTTTAACATAGCCATGGAAAATCACAGTTTTTAAATGTTTTTAATAGGTAAACCCAGGTAAACCATCTACAAATGGGCCATTTTCCATGGCTATGTTAAATAACCACAGGGTAAAAGGAATAAAATGAATAAAATACCAAAGAAGTCGTGCCATTTCCTTTTTCAACATTTTTCAACTACCCCTCTGTCTCGTCGTGCGAAAAAACTTCAATCGATGCTTCACGCCATGTTTACCTATACTTTGAGAGGACTCAAAACTAAAAACCATCAACCTTCATTCCCTAGTTCGTCAGTGCTTTACTAATATCCTTCCTACGATCACTGCATTCCAATTCGTACCCTTGTCGGATGTTCTCATGGCTCTCATGACTCTTCCCATGCTACTTACCGAGATTGTGGTATCTAAATCTATACTGGGGATCTGCTTGGGATTTTTCAGGCACCCGAACTGGTGACTTTCCAATACCTTGCCGCATGCAGCTCTGATGATAGATCTGCTATGGACTGGTATGAACGATCAACCAAGTTGGTCATTGGATAGGATGAAGCTGGTATCTTGCCAACAGGACTAGAGTGTTGTACTCCCCCCCCCTCCGAAAAAAAAAAAAACGAATATCTCGGCTCCGACAAGTAGCCATCCTGAGACCATGGCTGGGATCCCAGGCCTTGAAACAAATAATTATCAAAGTTAATATAAAAATGTTCATTTATGTGTTTATCTATTTTAGTGATCTATTTATATGTACACATATAATATATATATATATAGTATATTATATATTATATATTATATATATATATCATATTATATATAAAATGTATTTAGTACAACGAGTGTCATGCAACTTCATTTTTCGGCCATCTGATGCATTTTTCGGCCATCGCGCCTCTGCCAGGCCAGGAAAGAAACGTGGTCGAAATCCACCCGGCCGTGGGAGCCGTGTGCCGTGGCGGCCGTTGTTGGCTGCCTACGCCGAGATGCTGGGCCCCTGGGACACTAATGGGTTACCCAATGGTTGGGTTAGCCTCTGGTTATGACTAACAGGGCTAGCCATGGAAGCCATGGCCCCAATCGAAATAGATGGTTTACCGAACTGAAAAATGGTGATTTTCCATGGCGAACTGTTAGTCATAATCAGATGTTATGTGGGTGATGTGCGGCCTTTTTTTAACAATTTTTGGATACTTTTGGGACATAGAAGATATATGAGTCGGTATGACATGTCACAAAACACCACTTGGTTTTTGCAACTATATCATTTAAAACACAGGTGAATGTGCAAATGCAAATAGGCTGAGCCCAACAGCCTGAGACTATTTCACTTCACATAGGCTTGTTGAATTCCATGTGGTTGGTCCATGATCTAAAGCTTCCACGGTTCATGTTGCATAGCTACGTTTGGTCATCGCAGTACCACTAAGAGGTTTTGCACATCTTCTGTACCAACCTTGAGTTGCAGCGAAAAGTCGGCCTGCCTGTGAGCGTCCTGGAATTCTCCGCTTGAAGTTCCGGTCCTTTAGCGGAAAACTCATGAGAGGGGCCACCCAATGCCATAAAGCAAAGCAAAGGCCCTGAATGAACCTGTCTTGGGGGACAGTCCATTATGAATTATTGAATTTACATGAATTTCATTACTACATTACCAATCATTTCAATTTCAAACCTACCGTGAACAAAATGGGGTGTAGTTGAGTAGTTGGGAGTCATCCGTTCAATGATGGGTGCTGCTGCCGTTGACAAAAAGAACCCAAATTCTTGGAATTGACTCCAGGCCACATTACTCTAGCCGCCCCAATAGAAACACATAGAGACACTGCAAACAATTCTGCTGGTGCTACTTTCTATCTGTTGCATTTCAATTCAACAAATCTCAGAAGTGGAACCCCAAGGCCCTAAGATGCCCTAAGGCACTTCCAGCCAGTGCCTAAGTACCAAATCAACAACCCTAATTCTCTTTGGACTCTCCTGCTGTGGCACCCGTACGAGTTCCAGCAACCTGGTTCCGATAAATGAGACTTGTGATTCACAACATGGTCTGCAGACCCCGTGACTACATCACGTGAGGTAATGTGTGTGTGTGTGCGTGCGTGTCCGAATTGCATCAACAGGTTGTAGGAAACGGTTCCAGCCATCTTCGAAAAAAAAAACGCTTAAATTACTCGTATCATTGTAACGATTTGTAACATCTTATTCTGTCTCATATCTAGTATCCATGGATCAAAATGATCAAACAGGAGAACTGATATAGCGATGATATACCAATGTGTTCTGGCGCGGCGGTAAATCGCACCTGGCGGCTTCTGGATTGATCAAAGTTGGGAAGGTACCGCCGCCTGCTGGGCGAGTCTGCTGGGCGAGTCACAAAGACGAGGGATATCCATCACGTGACACGAATTCAGTTGGTTACATCATCTTACATCGGTAAAGAAAATGTTCCTCTGGGCACTCACGGGTAACAGTGGGGTAACAGGTTAAATTCGCATGGCAAACGTAGAAAATCTTGTCCTGAAGGGGCCATGGAAAGCGGCCCTGGGGCCACTCTTGTCAGCTGTAGACATCCACGAGGTTTGCCCAAAGTTTCGTTGCAAAAATACAAGCCGTTCTTAGCAATTTCATACGGATTCATGCCGTTTCATACAATGATGTCACTCAATCTCAGTGCTTTGGATTTGCTGTTGAGAAATAGCAACCATCCAAGAATTCAACAAGAATACAGTTTGATGCGTCACAACCAAGAGTTACTTTTGCTTTGTTTGATTTTGTGTGTTTATCTAGAAACCACAAATCAGGTTTGTGTTTGTGTTACTTGAATTCGAACCAAAAAACCAGCAACAACACGAACCAGCAAGAAGACAGCCTGCTGTTAACTCAGGCAACCTGACAACAATTTTGGTACAGGAGCTTGGCCATGACTTCCAAGTATTGAATAGATTCCAAGTATTGAATCACAGCGTCTTTCCATACCTACAACCCTCAAGCCCGCTTGTGAGGACGACGCGACGACCGCTGAATACAAAGGTATGTACTACCCTACACGCGTGAACCTGGAAAGCCTCTAGAAGCCTGGGGGCGCACTGCGCACAGGCACTGTGGCCATTTTGGGGTCATGGTCGGGCGAGGTGGAAGCCCAAAACGGCAAGAAAGCATTCTAAAACAAAGCAGTTTCTACTACAGCACACGTCGATTCCAAGATGGACCAGGTTGAGGCTTGTTGAAGCCTTGGACCATGTTGGGGTTGAAGACAAGTTCCTGGGACCCGACAGAAAACAAGGCGCTAGATCCATAGCCGGGGCAAATCTAACACGCTTCCCGAAAATTTAACTCTGGGTCAGTACTTGTCAATAAGCCAGGCTCTTGAGCCTTTTCGGCCATGGCCGTGGCCATACCCCGGGCGTTTGGGGTAGGCACCCAAAGGGCATAGGCCAAGTCTTGTTGGACGCTGCTGCAGTGTACCCACTAAGGATGAGGCCGTGGTGCGGAGGTAAGCGACGAGATCGCGATCGAAGGTAATCGCGATATCATCCCCAACACAATCTCCGCCGGCCAGCAGGTAGTTAGAGCATCTTGGGCCCAAGCTGGCCCAACATAGCCTCCACATCGCCCAACATGACCCCAACTTGGCCCCAACATCGCCTCAATCAACATAGCCCAACATGGCGTCCACATGGCCCAACACGACCCGTATTCCCGATCTTCCCCACCCCCTGTTATCTGCTGCACCGTCATTTTTTCACACTTTAACTCATCATCCAGCGAAACGCAATGGCAGCGGCATAATTGACCCGCCTGCAAGAAGCAATCCAAACACATAGTCAAAACATGGGAACTGGGATACCAAGCTGGCAGCCTACTGCACATGGTATACAAACATATACAAGCAATTATCTTTAGACGCGCTGCAGCTAAATGCATGTATGTTATTAAATCTCGCAAATTGGTGGCCACAACAGGGTTCGTCGGCAGGGGGCGGCCCTTTAATCCAGCGATGTTTTTGGGAGGCCCTAGTCGCTGCAGACCCAGCTGCAGCTTCTACCGCCGACCCTCCCCAAAAAATCCTTCACTCTGGTGTTGTTTTCACGTTTGTGACG